ACAGTAGGATACAATATCAGCGCTGTCTCTCCTGTCTTAGGAAATGCAACAATATCCGCTTATCTTGTAGAGCCTTCACTGTCGATGCTACAGACCTCGTCAAAGCAGGTGAATTCTTTTTCTCTAAGGAGCCTCATCAACTCGAACTTGACCCTATGGTGGCGGCATGTTATGAGGAGGGAGTTCTTGGGGCATTTTCCCAGCACATGGACTGGTATTTCAGACTCTCTGCCGCTTTTCTGACAGGGGGACCCAACTTCCTTTGACTGTCCACTGGCTCCTGGGACTTTACGAAGACACGTAGTTGATATTGAGTTTTAAGGCATTGGACCATTTTGACCCCGAAAGTACTTGTTTCTAACATATGTATCTATTGGCTTTCGGGGTTTCTTTAAAATGATGGACTCCAACGCCTTGCCATCTGCAGCTGGCACATTCTTCGAAAAAATTTTCTCTTAGCGACTTTTGTAGAGCTCTCGCTTTGGTGGCCCAGATCCACTCCTAATGTTTCTGCACTTTCTGCGATTTCTGAATTATAATCAAATGTGGACTAGAACAGGGCATCTGGTACATTAGACAGCTGCTGGGCAATGGAACAGTGCTGTAAAGGAGCCTCTCATTGACAACAGATCAGTCCCAATCCGCAATACCTCCTTGGTGCATACAACTTCGCTGTTAATGTATTAGCGGGGAGCTCGATAATGACCTTGATACTCTTGTGGATATTGGTATCAATTCCCTCCAATATCGCTGGATGTATCTTTGTTAGGGACACCATCTGAAGAGGGTAGGTATGTAAGTATGACCCGGAAACACCTATTGCTTGACAAGGTTGATATTCTGCTCCGGTTTAAGAAGGCAAGAGCTAACCAATGTTGTTGAATTTGTTCACCATTTCTTCATTTAGTACTAGCTCTCCCGAGAATGTGCATCCTAAATACTTTATAACCTCACCAGCATTTGTTGATTCAATAATTTCTCCATTATTTAGGGAGAGCTTTGCTTCTTACTGCTCTCCTTTATCAATTAGAAGGCTCGTGCTTTTCTGTAGATTTATAGCTAGACCAATCTCGGCAAGGATCCTCTGCACACCGTTGATAAGCCTCTCTGCACCCTTGTCATGTGCTATAACAGCCTGTTTGTCTGCGAAGCCTGTGAGGATCACACATTCTTGGTCATTTGTTAGTTTATATCCATAGTGGTTAGACAAATCTAGTTCCCATAGGTTGCGGTATAGGTGATCTATAGCCAGTTTGAAAAGCGAAGGCAAGAAGGGTCCGCCTTGGTATACTCCTCGCCACACTTTAATCCACTTAGTCAAGTGGGCTCCAATTCTAATCTTGATTCCAATCTTGAACTTTTAAAAACCTGTTAAACGTCTAAAAAATAAACAAAAATAGTCAACAGAGTATCATTGCTCAGGTTCTATTTAGCCTCATTTTTGTTTGGTAAACAGATTTTGCATTAACACTTAGACATTACTTAAGATGATTGTAGTTCAGTTGGGATAATGGTGTTTTATAAACAGAGCTAGACGTGAATCATCCCAAATACAAATAAAAATATGGATTATTCTTATTTTGAACAATGCTCTTAATGTATTCAATAACTTAAACAAAACTTTTAAAACCAAAGAAAAGTGGTCAAAAAAGTGCCATCACTCAGGTCCTATATCCTCATTTTGTTTGGAAAACAGATATTGCATTAATACTTATGATCAGGTACCTTAGTAAATAGATTACATAGATAAATGGTTTGGACAAGATAAAATTATGTTTTAAATTAATTGTATCCTCCGCGTCAGCAAATTCCCCCTTATCATCTACCTCTACGAGTCAAATTACCGCCACAGTAATCACACCCATCCCATCCTAATGCCCAGAAAAAAAAACCAGCAAAGTATCGTCGAATCCAGTCCCACCTCATACACAACAACAAATCCCACTCTCAGTTAACACTCCTTACCCGCCACCTGAACCTATCCTAAATCCACTTCACAATAAACATCCATCTGATCTAACTTCCATTCTATCATCCTTCCTATTGGACCTCCAAAACACCATAAAACCTCTTATCACTCTACTAACCAGAATCCTGACCGAAATTCCGTTTAATTTCCCTTGATGAGCACAAAGCCCCTAACTATCCTTTTATGGAATGCTAACGGACTACACAACCACTGTGACGAACTTGACATATTTCTTCATGACAATCACATTGATATAGCTCTACTGACTGAAACGCATTTCACAAAACGGACACATTTTCACATACGAGACTACATCACTTATAGATCTGACCATCCAGACAACACTGCCCACGCCGGTTCTTGCATCCTTATACATAAATCTTTACCCCATTCCCTTATTCCTTCCACTCCAACTGACGCCATTCAATCAACTTCTGTAATCCTTTCAACTCGCCCTTTCCATTTCACAGTCTCAGCTGTATACTGTCCTCCTGGTAATTCCCTCTCCTTTAATCTCCTTGATACGTTGTTACAATCCCTCGGATCGCGCTTTATTGCTGGAGGAGATTACAATGCTAAACACCAACGGTGGGGTTGTCGAACATCCAACTCCCGCGGTAACATCCTTTCCCGTCTCTCATCTTCTAATAGTTATTCAATCCTCTCGCCCATGAGTCCTACTTATTGGCCAACATCCCTCAAAAAACGTCCCGATATCCTGGATATATTTATCACCTCTCAGATTTCCTCCTCCCAAACTATAATCAAATCCCTGGATGACCTTTCTTCAGACCATAGTCCAGTTCTGCTTTCATTATATTCTGACTTTGCTCCTAAACCATCACCTCCCAAACTGATCACTGGACGAGTAAACTGGGACAAATTTCGTGATGATTTGGAAAACAAACTTGACCTCAAAATTCCGCTAAAGACAAAAGAAGACATTAATGGTGCCATAGAAAAACTGACATCATCAATAACAGACAGTATAAATTATAATACCGTTATCAATAAGATTAAGAACCCACAAAATACTAACTTGCCACAGCATATTCGCATCTTATTAAAGGAAAAACGCAGAGCAAGATAGAAGTGGCATCGAACTAGATACCCGACAGATAAAGCGCATTACACCCAACTGACTAACAAACTGAAATCAGAAATAAGAAAATACAAAATTCAAAATTTAATAAATTTTACTGAAAAACTTACACCTACCTGTAAATCACTATGGACGACCACTGAAAGGCTCCTGAAATTTAAAGACTGCAACCATCCACTACTCACTGAAGCCCAAACCTGGTCCAAATCTGACGAAGAAAAATCCCAAATATTTGCTCACCACCTCTTTAAAACCTTTAATCCACATCCCGACATTCTTAACCCAAATCACCTTGAATGTATTGAAGCAGAACTGGATATCCCACTCCAAATGACTCCTCCTCCTAAAGCCTTTCATCCTTCAGAAATATCCAACATCATTCACAGGTTACCTTCCCGCAAAGCTCCTGGACACGACCTAATTGCATCCCAGATCCTAAAACTACTTCCTCGGAAAGCCATTCTATTCCTTACGTATATATATATATATATAAAATGCTGTACTCCGATCAACATATTTTCCCGACCCTTGGAAACTATCCATTATCAAAATGATACATAAACCCAAAAAGCCACCAGAATACCCATCCTCTTACCGTCCTATCTCTCTTTTACCCATCATGGGAAAAGTCCTAGAAAAACTCATCCTAAAACGCCTGTACCCAATCCTAGATCACCAGTTTGGATTCCGCAGATCCCATTCCACTATCCAGCAATGCCATCGTGTGGTGGATGTTGTCTCCTCTGCATTAGAGCGCAGAATGTACTGCACGGGAGTCTTTCTCGATGTAGAACAGGCTTTTGATCGAGTCTGGCACCCGGGACTACTTTACAAACTCCGTAAATTCCTACACCCTACATACTTCCTCATTATCCGTTCCTATCTAACTGATAGATACTCAAAAGTCAATCACAATAATGCTTATTCATCCCTCTTTTCCCAGTCCGCTGGTGTTCCTCAAGGTAGTATCCTTGGTCCTTTCCTTTACACAGTTTATACAGCTGACATCCCAACCCATCCTAACACTGTTATTACCACGTATGCCGATGATACATGTGTCCTATCCGTTAATAATGACCCAACCATTGCATCCCAAACTCTTCAATCGCACATCACAAGCCTTGAAGAATGGTGTCTAAAACTGGAGGATTAAAATAAATTCTAATAAATCCCATCAAATCACCTTTACCCTTCGACGTAAACCTATGACCTCATGTCCCACAGTATCCTTTAATAATACCCCACTTATCCCTGTTGAACAAATCTGATACCTTGGACTTCACTTGGACAAGCGTCTAACTTGGAATCCTCATACCAGACTGAAACGACAAGAAACCGCTCGACGTTTCCGACTACCTCCAACACTTACTAGACAAACACTCTAAGATTCCAGTTAATTACAAAAGACTTATAACTACATGACTACAATAAGACCTATTTGGACTTACGGAGTTGAGCTTTGGGGCTCCACTAAGCCATCGAATTCCTCTCGTATCCAATCCTTACAATCCAAAATCCTTCGGAAAATCCTCAATACTCCTTACTTTGTCATCAACAAAATAATCCATAATGACCTTAATGTTCCTTATGTTTCCGATTTGGCCCAATCCAGATACCAATCCTTCCATAATAAACTTCAGAACCATCCGAATCCTCTCGTCTCTAACCTTGCTTCCTCTTCTATTCCTGATAACCCTCCAAGGCGTCTGAAAAGAAGATGGCCTCGAGATCTCTTATTGTAAATACATTTTGTTTTTTAGAGTGCTACCAGTGGGTAGTTTCTCAACAAGTCATTTCATGTTTTTATTTTCTGTTATCAAATTTACTTAATGTATTTAATTTTTTAATACAGTTGTAAATATCATGAATAAATAAAATAAATAAATTAATTGTTGTTTGTTGCCTAAAAAATATTTTATTTTTTCTTAGGATGACATTAAATTGGAACCAGAAACAGAAGCTATTATTCAGTGGTTACAAAGTTATCCGTTCGTTCTATCTGCTAACCTCCATGGTGGGGCACTTGTTGCAAACTATCCCTATGATGAGAATAACTACAACCAGATTGCAGGATCCCCAAATTTATCACCGGATCAAGATGTTTTTTCCCTACTTGCTAAAACATACTCATATGTAAGTTTTTTATTAATTTCCAATTTATAATATTAATTTCTGTATGTAATGTATTTGTTTAATATTTAATTTATTATTATTATAGTATTTTATTGTATTTACATACTATTACATATGAATGGATTTATTGTCTTTATGGTTAGATGTTTTAAGTTCAGGGTTCAAGTTTGTTGTTAATATATAATTCAAAATTACAGTCGTATAGAAAGATCATCAGTTTTAGATAGTGAGCTGTTTTATAGTGACCCACAGAGAACAGTAAACTCTGCTAGAAGAAAATAATAGACATATTATAATATTTGGAGACCTTAATGCAAGAATGAGAGAATATTGTTGGAATATTGATTAATAAATAAATCAATATTAAAAGTTCCCAAACTAAAAAAACACAAACTTGATTGCACTGTTTGTATAAATGAATAAACAAAACAAATATTTTTTCTTAAAAAATAAAATAAACAAAACATAATAAAATTGTTCTATAAGTTAAATTAATGTTGCCTTGAAATAAAAATAAACAATATTTTTCATTAGGTTTTAATTTCTTCGGTAATACCTTGTTGGCTGGTGTTCTTTCTTGTATCCAACCTCTTTAGGCAAAGACAGACCATAGTAGGCTATTTATAGAAACAGTTTAAATCAACTTTGCCAACATATACACACTTTGCGTGACTCACCGGAACTTCACAGGCTGCAGTCAAAGCGGTAAAGAAGACAGGCGAACTCCCATCAATTAAATGTTTTACTTAATTATGACTAGATAACAAAACTCACAGCACTGATACCTCTCACTCCATTTTTTCTCTGTCTCGACTATATATCATGTCTAATCGATAATCAAAGAGATACGTACGGTGATCGAATTGGGTATAAAATCTAAAACTACTACAATATAATTATATGACTAATGTTGTTATAGGCCCATGTGTTGGTGAAATGGTTATAAATAATAATGGGAGAAGCCTATTAGATTTTTTTAGAGATAATGATCTATTAATAGGCAACTCCTGATTTAATGAACAAGATATCCAAAAGCTGACATTTTTAGGAAAGGGCAGAGATGTCACCAGTTCCATAAATTATTTCTTATACGAGCAAGGACTGGGAAGTTATTTTGGAGATATTAAAGTAATAAGAGGGGCAGAATTGACAATTCAAGTCCTCAGTCCACTCCCTTTCCACAAGATCTCGACCTTCTGACCTTTACATTCCTTCTCACAGATCTGCCTCGTTCCAAAACTCTTTTATTGCTCGCTCTGTTAATTTCTGGAATTACCTTCCTATAAAAATTTGACATTCTTCCTCCCTATCTACATTTAAAACCCTCCATTTCCTGTCCCAAAAATAGTCAGATACCCACTAACCTTTTATGTAAAATTACATATTATTCATAATAATGTATTTACATATAACTCATCACTTAAATACTTACTATCAGATTCGACTATCTTTTTTCTTTTTTTTTTTTTCAACAGAAAAACTGAGTTTACTGCTAAGAAGAATGTAATGTATTTTTTATTTTTTCTAAAAGCGTATATTTATATTTTACTACTGTAAATAATTTTAAGTGTCTTGGCATGGTTTCAAGAGTTTTGTATATAAATTTTTTTAAATTTTGTGTATTAGAGTGCTACCAATGGGTAGTTTCTCAACAAGCGTGTTTCATGTGATAATATTCCTATGTACACATGTACTTGATGTATTCACACTAATACAGTTGTAAATATCATAATAAAAGTTTAAAAAAAAAAATTTGTGTATAGTATGTTTAATTAATATTTTCTTTACTTATTTCTCTTTATTTTTACTTTTTATGTTTGTTTTTATTTGGCCAGATATAATATTTTAATTTTGTACTTTTTTATTATTCTAAAGGGACTTCATCCCAGAATAAAATTATTTTCTATTCTATTCTATTGTGCTAAAAAAGTTTGAATGGGTGTGATTATCATTATATTCATAGGTAAACATTAAAATTATGTTTAATTAACATTTCATGAAGTTTGAAATGTATCTTGGACCATGATTTATCCAGACTTGATACTTTTGTAGTAGAACTCAATAAAATTTTAAGTTTAAAAGAGGGTTATGTAATGGGAACACCTAAATAATTATGATATTAATGCACATTATCTTGAGACCAATCATATACCATCAACTAAATAAATAATAAAAGGCTTAGCGAACCCGAAGGCTCGATGCCGACACCATCAATCGCTTATTACACACCTCCCTCCACCGTTCGCCGTCCAAACCCAGTCCCTTCAGATTGGTTTTAATGCAATCTACCCACCTTCGCTTCGGTCTACCCCTCGGACGCTTACCATTCGGCACAGCAAATATTAACCTTTTAGGAATTCTCTCGTTACTAAGTCCAACAGCTTTACAAGCCCACTTGGAATGCCACAATCCTTACTTGGAATATACATACTAAATTTTAAAAAAAAACAAGAAATGACAAGACGATATAGCCAACTCTCACATCTTCTGCACTAGAGATCTTCACTTTACTTACGAAACAAGCGACTGATCTACAACACTATACTGAGACTAATTTAGACATACGGAGCAGAACTTTGAGGTTCGGCCAAACAAACACAAAAACAAAATAATAATAATAATAATAAGGCTTAGCGAACCCGAAGGTTCGATGCCGACACCACCAATCGCTTGTTACACACCTCCCTCCACCGTTCGCCGTCCAAATCCAGTCCCTTCAGATCGGCTTTAATGCAATCTTCCCACCTTCGCTTCGGTCTACCCCTCGGACGCTTACCATTCGGCACAGCAAATATTAACCTTTTAGGAATTCTCTCGTTACTAAGCCCAACAACTTTACAAGCCCATTTGATTCGCCGCGATGAAATTACCTCAATTATATTACCCGGATACAGCTCACGCAATTCGGCGTTGTGTAACCGTCTGAACTCTCCGGTTAACTCATCCTTCTTCGGTCCGAATATTCTACGCAATACTTTATTTTCAAAAACCTTAAGACGCTGCTCACCCTTAATGTAAGCGGCCAAGTTTCGCATCCATAAAGAACTATAGGCAAGATAATTGTTTTATAGATTCTAATTTTTAAGTTTCGGGACAAGAGACGCGAACTAAGTAGTTTTGTCACAGAAAAATAACCAGCATTCCCCGCCTTCAGTCTAACCTTAATCTCTTCTTCAATTTCGTTTTTTCTAGTTATCGTAGAACCTAGATACCTAAATTTATCTACGTGTTCAAACATATTACCATCTATATCGATATCACCAGTAGTATCGCCATTTTTGCAGCTAACCATATATTTTGTTTTATCCACGTTTATTTCGAGTCCTAGTTCTTTACCGGCTTTCATTAACGTTGTCGTATTTAGTTTTATAGTTTCAACGTCTTCGCTTAACAGTACCAGATCATCAGCATAGCCCAGCACGGATGTTGTCCCGCCCAGATCCAACCCTTTCTCGGTTCGCATTACCTCCCTAATGCCATGTTCTAATGCCAAATTGAACAGGACAGGCGAAAGAGAATCCCCCTGTTTTAAGCTCGAACAAACCTCAAATTTTTCGGACAAATTATTACCGATTCTAACTTTATTGAGTGTCTCCGTCAAGCACATCCTGACTAGATTTACTAGTTTTTTTGGAATCCCCTGCTCGATTAGAATATTATACAGTTTCTGGCGGTCAATAGAATCGTAAGCCTTTTTAAAATCTATATACAGCTGGTGAACAATACCGTTATACTCCAATTTTTTCTCTAATATTTGCCGTAAAGAAAATATTTGATCAATTGTCGAACGATTCCGTCTAAATCCGCATTGGTAGTCTCCGATAATTTCCTCGGCGTATTCCGTGATTCGACTGGTTAAGATTAAAGTGAATATTTTATAGCATACCGGAAGGAGTGAAATTCCTCGATAGTTATTACAATCCGTCCTCGGACCCTTTTTGTGAATCGGAATAAGAATAGATTCTTTCCATTCTTCAGGTAATTTCTCGTTCTCCCAGATCTTTTTAACCAACCGATGTATTTTAGAAACTCCAGCTTCCCCGCATGCCTTAATTAGTTCAGTAGGAATATTATCGATTCCCGCTGCTTTATAAGATTTTAATTTTCCGATAGCTACTTCAACTTCCTCTTTACTTGGTCCTTCTATTAACGGTTCAGCACTCTGGTACTCAGAAGGAGGACACAGATCATAATTTCCCGTATTTAAAATATTGTCAAAGTGGTCCTTAAACTTATTCAATATGTCAACTGGATCGGTCAGAATGTTGTTATTATCATCCCTAATTCCAGACATTACGGGCCCTACATATTTACGTGATCTGTTTATACCTTTGTACATGTCTCTTACGTTATTTTCGATTCTATTAGTTTCTATTTCAATTATTTTATTTTTAAGATACTCCCTTTTTTTATTTTTGAGCAATTTTGTCGTTTCGTTCTTTGAGGTTCGGAAGTATTCCAGATTATTTTCGCTAGGATTATTTAGAGCTTTTAATTTAGCGGCTTTTCTTTTTTCGCACATGTTTAAGCAATCTTCATCAAACCACGGTTTGTTATTCTTATTTTCCTTTTTTCCTAGACACGAGTTACCGACCGCTTTAATATTATCCCTGATCTCTACCCATAACTTGTCAATATCCTCGTGGTCCTCGTCAGGAAGCTCTAAAGCTTCAAACCTATTCTTAACATCTAGCTCGAATTGGTTTCTAATTGATGGATTTTTTAATTTTTCCAAATTAAAATTCTCAAAATCGAAACGGTTTTCTTTTCTCTTTTTTATATTAAGTTTTTGTCGAAGTTTCGCGATTACTAATTCATGATCCGACCCACATTCTGCTCCGCGATAAGACCGTACATTAATTATATTGCTTTGCCAGCTGTGTTGTATCAAGACATGATCGATTTGATTTCGTGTTTGCGAATCCGGTGATGTCCAAGTATATTTATGAATATCCTTATGTTTGAACGTCGTAGTTTTAATTATCAGATTTTTCGAGGTGGCAAAGTTTATCAGACGGATCCCATTATCATTACTATATTCGTGCAAACTTTCTTTACCAATCGTCGGAATATAAACCTCTTCCCTTCCTACCTTTGCGTTGGCGTCACCTACAATTATTTTCATGTAGTTTCGCGGTAGTTTATCATAAACCCATTCGAGTTTATCGTAAAATTCACTTTTGACTTCATCATCACTGTCTTCGGTCGGACAATGTATGTTTATTAATGCGATTTTAAACTATATGGTTTAAATATCAACTATATGGTTTAAATTATCACAACACAGCTCCAGCAGTTTATAAATACTACAACTGCAATACTTAAAAGTTCTTAAAAAAAAAATTGCAAGAAAAATTAATTGTATCTTTATAACATCTACACAGTTTTTTGCTGTCATTAAAATAATTAGAACACCATAAATAGTTTGTTTACTTTCCTTATGAGGTGTAGCTCCTCCTGGCACAGCTTCTAATTTGTACTGTGGATGCATAACATCGTAAAGAGTTGGTCTATCTCTTATTAGTTATGTCAGTTTTAGAACTTGTTCTTGTGTCCATACAGACATTTTCACACAGCTGACAACAAAATAACACGAACAATAAAAAATGGTGGTACTTGTACAAGCATAGTACATTACTTGTATGTATAGGGGTGCTGATGTAACATGGCTTTTCAACATTTTCAATAGTCAAATGTGCATTCGGACCCACAACTGTACAAAAACTTTTTACACGGTACAAGTTTCACCTCCAAACTCAGTTCATACAAAGCTTTGTAGGAGAGACTTGACCATGTAAAACGGCCTTAATATAAGACACAACATTTAATTACCTTACATTCTCCTTAGTTGTTGGTACTTACAGTTTGTGCACATTATTGTTATACATTGTTATCATACATTATTTCATGTGAAATAGTGTAGCTTTACAAGTATATAGCTCAGCATTATAATTATTCTAAACTTTTCAATTTATTTTAACATTGAGGTTTATTTATGTTTTCTTTCTGGCTAAAGACTGAGATAAATTAATTTTCATTTTGTTCATTGATTATTTGAAATCTTTTTTTTTAGCTGTACTTATTACAACTAGTTAGTTTTATTTACTAAGTTGATTGATGTAATAGTTTATTTGTTTATTGAATACTTTTTTGTTTATTTTTTTCATTCTCAGGCTCATCCAAGAATGCATCTGCTTCAGAAACATTGCTCTTACACTAATGAAACATTTGTAGATGGTATTACCAATGGAGCAGCTTGGTATAGTGTTTCAGGTGGAATGCAGGACTATAATTATATATTTGCTTCGTGTATGGAAATAACTATTGAAATGGGCTGTTTTAAGTATCCTCCGAAAGATAAATTACCAAAATATTGGTTAGAAAATAAAGAACCTCTACTTACATTTATGCAGCAGGTACATGTAGTCTGTTAATTTTTTTAAATCATATTTATGCTTGTTATAAATTATTGGTTATCTTATTATCACAATCTCGTGCAGGTACCATCCGATGTGGACATCAGCAGTAATACCATCCACCCATCTTGACTAGTCTTCCACATCTTCTTTTTCCATGAATTGGTTCTCTTAGGAGCTTGTTTAGTATTTCATCATCTTCCGTCCTGGCCATAGGTTAACCCACCTCAACATATTCAGTTTACTTACTTACTTATTTAATCCAGTTCTCTTTGTTACCAATGAGCAGTGTGAGGTTCCTTCTTATAGGGCCTGACCCAAGAATCTCTGTTATCAGCCAGCAGCCTTCTCCTCCAGTCCATTCCCCTCCTATCAAAGGCTTCTTTGATTCCTTCTTCCCATATTTTTCTTGGTCTTCCCTATGGCCACTCTCTGATCTCGTAGGTAGCCTTGGTAATTCTGTTTTCAACCATTCATGATACATGTTGAAACCACCTGAGTTAATTCTCATGGATTAATTCCTCTACAGGCCTCAGGTCCAGATTTGCCCTTATCGACATTCCTCACATGATTTCTTTCTTGTTTCCCCCTCTATTTTCCTTAAATACCCCATTTCCATTGCTTTTATTTTGCTTTTGTGCTTGGAAGTGAGGGTCCAAGACTCGCTTGCATATGTTAGTATAGGGAGGAAGGTATTCTTGAAGGCAATCTTCTTAGTGGCCTTTGAGACTTCCTCCTTGTACAAGAAGCCTGTCTTGAGGGAGTAGAAGCATTTTCCAGCCATCTTGATCCTTTCCTTTATGCCTCCATTAACCCATCCATACTCTTTAAGGTGAGCACCTAGGTATTTAAAATCCACAACTTGCTCCAGGCGGATTCCAACCAGCCGAACGATCTGGTCTCCTCGGTCGCTTCTTCTCCCAATCCTCATAAATTTTGTTTTGGAGATGGTAATTTCCATGTTTTTATTCCTCAGCTTAGCTTGAAGGATCTTAATGTTAAACTGCAGATTACGGCAGTCATTTCCGAATACCACCATATTGTCAGCAAAAGCAAGCAACATATAGTGGACACACTGAAGGTTCCTATATCTCAGGTGGTATGGCCTCATTTTCTGTTTGGCTTGTTTTAGGGCAGAATCCAGCACCAGGATAAACAAGAGGGGGCTAAGGCTGCATCCCTGTCTGATTCCTTGATCTGTTAAGAATTCCTTTGATATATGGTTGCACACCCTGACAACATTTTTCTGCATTCCATACCTGGTTCTCTGTCCATTCCTTCAACACGAGATCATAGCCCACAAACCTATATATTTCTTCTCATAGGATAGTTTATTTTGAAAAATCCTTCATAATGCTTGCTACCTTGTTTTGGCATTACTTGCCCATCTTCAGGTGTAAAACCTCATCATTAACTTCATTTACCCCAATTACATTGGAAAAACCAATTGTTTTTCCATCTCTTCACTGTACTTACCAGAGTGAGAATGTCAAGATTCATTTCCTGGAGCTCCTGAGAAATGAAAATTAACTGACCCACAGTGTTCAAGAATCAGGCACTCTGAGACCCATACCCAATGTGCCCGGTTATCCCATCCTTTTATTACGTATCTTAACTAGTAGACATTTTGAACCATATTGTTCTCCTTTATGTGAAATAATTATACAACCATTATCAACCTTAATTATATTTATTATTTATAATAATATTATATAATTTTATCTAATTCTTTTAATGAGAAAATGCCAAAAATTCAGTACTATGTTCTTACCTTTTCTTGCTATAATTGTTAAAATTGGTTAGTTGGTTGGACTGACTCATCTCCATTTTATTTTCTGGAATATTTTGGGATGTTTTTTGTTATTAATAATCTCTGTAAACCACACTTCATATTTTTTTCTTTTTCTGTTATCATTACAGGCCTTTTAGATCTTTTACCGCCTTAACAAGTCTGCTCCATCTCTGCCTGTCTTGCTCTATTTCTTTCCAGTTATCTGCACACAGCTGAATTACATTTTTGTTAATTCTCTTTATCCATCTGCTTTTTGTCCTCCCATGTGGTCTTTTGTCTTCTATTGAGGCATTCATTGTTATGAGAAGGAGTTGATCGGGGAGGGGGGTGGGAGGGGATGTGGTCAAATTAATACTAAATTAAACAAGTAGAATTATTTAATTTAGTATTATTATAGTACATATTATTATATATATATAGCGCAGACGCTTCAGACGGACTAGGCTTGCAGATGATTATCAAATATTCAGAGTGCTTCGTAACACGACACAGACAAGGATCCGACAAGCGAAAGCGAACTACTTTCACGAAGCCCTTTCCTCAGCTCCTGATATCAAATCAAAATGGCTTCTACTTCGTAAGCTTTCCCTCTGTGAACCTTCTAGATCCCCTTCCTCAGTTTTCCCAATATCACCTGATGACCTAAACTCCCACTTTATATCGGTTTCCACCTCTTCTTTACCATCCCCTTCCGGCTTTTCTCCAGAGGTACCTTTTAACGACAATAATTTTTATTTTTCCGACATTTCTCCCACAGACCTTATTACCGTTATAATGAAATCCCGTTCCAATTCCGTAGGCCCAGATGGCATTCCTATCAAACTAATAAAATTATGTCTCCCTGAAATCCTCCCAGCACTCCTTTTCATCTACAATTTCTCCCTGCAGAATTCAATATTCCCAACCTCTTGGAAAAAAGCCATTGTCCTTCCTTTAAACAAAAAGCCTAATCCATCCTCTCCCGAAGATTTCCGCCCAATATCAATCCTTTCCAATCTTTCTAAACCCCTAGAAAAGTTAGTACAATCCCAAGTTTCCAACTACCTTGAACAATCCAACCAACTCGATCCTCTCCAATCTGGCTTCCGTCCTGGCTACTCTACACAATCTGCTCTGATTAAAATTACTAGTGATATCCAGACTGCAATAGATGACAAAAAACTAACCATACTTATACTGCTTGATTTCTCCAAAGCTTTCGATTCCATTATCCATTCCATCCTTTTCAACAAACTAAAATCATTATCCTTCTCCAATAGTTCCATCTCTTGGTTCCAGTCTTTCCTCTCACAACGAACCCAAGCAGTTTCCATACCTAATCAACCTCTATCTGCCTACCTTCCTTTATCCTCAGGAGTTGCACAGGGTTCAAGCATGTCTCCTCTTCTTTTCAATTCTTATATTAATGACCTAAATGATTCAATTATCCATTGTTCCCACCACCTTTATGCCGACGATTCTCAAATCTATTTATCCTTTTCTCCCGCTGAGTTATTGGTGGCATTTGCCAAAATTCAAGAAGATTTAGATCGAATTAGTGCCTGGGCCAACTTAAATGGATTAAGGCTAAATGCTGCCAAAACTCAGGCCATTCTCATTGGTTCCAAGCCCCTTCTTAGATCCCACACCAACTTTCCCTCACTCTATCTAAACAACCACCCCATCACCTTCTATCCCTTTGTTAAAAATTTAGGCTTTCTCATAGATCAAACCCTTTCCTGGAATCACCATATCTCTCATATATCCCGCCGTGCAATTTCTACCCTCAAACTATTCCATCACTTCCGCCATCTTCTACCCCAAAATACCCGTAGACTCATAGTTTCCTCTCTCATCTTTCCCCACTTTGACTACAGCTGTGTGGTGTACGATGGCCTCTCGGTGGAACTGCGTGATAGACTCAAAAGACTTATGAATTGCTTCGTAAGATTTGTAATTGGAACCCCGAGACGCTCCCGTGTCTCCCACCACTACACTGAGTTAGGGTGGCTCTTCCCCTCCTTAAGAAGACAATATTTCCTTGGCACTTTCCTTTATCAAATCATTACCGATCATCGTCCTTCTTATGCCTACAACCTTCTCCAATTTAAGTCCTCAATCCATTCTCTCACTACAAGATCCCGACCCTCTGACCTATACATCCCTTCTCATAGATCTGCCTCATTCCAAAATTCCTTTATAGCCCGCTCTGTCAACTTTTGGAATTCCCTCCCGATCAAAATTCGACATGCCCCTTCCCTGTATACATTCAAAAACCTCCTATTCCAATTCCTGTTCCAAAAACAGTCTGATACCAGCTAACTATTGATATTATATATGTATTGAGTAGCAATCATATAATCATAACACTTGGTAATAGATAGTACATGCATTTCCTACTATCGACGTAGGAATTTCAATACATACATTTTTTTTTATATATATTTTTTTTTATTCAATTATAAGTAACTGTTTATTTTTATATATATATTCAAGTAAAGTTTTTTTTTTTTTTTTTATGAAATGAACTCATTGTATCTCTTTTTCGTTCTTCATTTCTCAAAGTGTATGTTTATGTTGTTCAACCCTTAAATATAATTTTGTTCATAGTTCAAGTGATTCGTTCATAGTTTTAATTGTTTTGTTCATAATTTTAAATGCTCTGTGCATAGTTTTATCTGTTTGTATATAGCTTGTGCACCTAAGATTTTCTTTACTTTTTATTTTATTTTATCAATTTTATTTATTGTTTCAACGTTCAGGCCAGTAATATTCTATTATTTTGTACATTATTGTTATTCTGAAGGGACTTAGTCCCAGAATAAAGTTTTTTTTCTATCTATATATATTATTATTATATATATTGTAATGTCAACATTACATGGCATTTGAATATTGGTGCGAAAATGGTAACAGCACGAACTACGGGGAGGAAGTGCGTGCGGATGGTGGGGGAAGCAAGCCTCATGTAACTCAGAATGTGATCGGCCACCAAGAGAGAAGGTTATGAGCCGCCAAGAGAGAATGTGACAAGCTGTCAAGAGAGAAGGTGACGAGCTGCCAAGTGAGAAGGTGCTAGCCAGCAAGCTGAGAAAGTGAAAAAGGAGTCCTAGCCGGTTCGAGTGTTGATAAAGGCCACTAGTGGAGATTATTTTATGTTGGAAGAAAAAAACATAGCAGAAAAGAATTAAGTGGTACAGAAAACTGGACATTCGTAAGTAAGACGAGATTATTTCGCTGACAGGCGTAAACATTTGGATGAGTGCTAACAATGCCATTTATGTTGACAGAGGGATAGAACCAAAAGTTTAGACCGGGACAAATTATTTTATAAAACTATTTTAAATTATATATAAGTGTAGTTAGTAATTAGTGAATTAGTGTAGATTATAGTTATTTAATGTTGAATGAGTGTTCAGTTGTCAGAACCCAACCTGAGAATTTATGTTATGTGTTAAAATAAATAGTATATTGAAAAAGGAAACTCGTTTGATTTTGGAGGGAAAGAGGAACGTTACAAAATATATATATATAATTATTATTATTATAGTATTCTACTTGTTTAATTTAGTATTAATTTGAACACACCCCCCGATCAACTCTTTCTCATATTATATCAACAGTCAACCATCATTCATTGTTATGTTGAGGCTTCCAGATGGATTTCTATGAGCTACATGCCCCGCCCATCTTAACACTTCATATTTAGTTATTATTAAATTAGTTTGATTTAAATTTATTAAATACCAAAAAATAATTATATTACTTAATTACTTATAATTTACATGCTTCGATTATGTTTAACCCTATATCTCAGACTGTGCCCTTCCTTAATGTTTATTCAAAGGTATTATTATTTATCCTTTAGGTCTTCTTATTTCTTTTGCTTTTTTATTTCTTATAATGTAAAGTATTAGTTTTCTTTTTAATCAACATAATAGGTTGTTCTGTTTTTGTACATCCATTTTATAATTTGCTACGTTTTTGTAATATATATTGATTCTATATGTTTTCTTATTTTCCCATTATTTGCTCTATTTAAAATTTTTATGTTATCAAAATCATATTTTTGTAATACGGATACATCCGGTTTAGTAGGATATTGGTCATTTTCTTGTAGGCAACTGGAAGGAGGAGTCCCTGTAATTACTACATTCATTTGTGGAGCTTGTGCTATAGTATTGTAATCTATTATCTTTGGTCAGATAGATAGATTACAATTACAATAGATAGATTGATTACAATACTTATTTAATTTTTTCAGTACTAAAATGTTGTTTTTTTTTGGGTCCTTCCCTTCCTCGCTATACGGGATTTTCCCGGGCCAGGGGGTGTGAGCGGGGATTTAAAAGACTCCCCTGGCACCGGGACGCGAACTCGTGACTATTTTTATATCTTTGATTCATATATCAGGTTGCCGGAAAACGGCGGTGCAGTGCACATGCTTTAGCCCATTCAGCCACCCCGCCCACAATGTGGTTTTGCTTGTAAAATCAAGCATTGCTTGAGATCAGATTAAAGAGACTAATGAATTGTTTCATTAGATTTATTTTTGGAGTCCCCAGGTTTCCCACATCTCCAGTTGGTTTGCTGAGTTGAAGTGGCTGTATCTAGTCTTCCGACAGCAGTATTTTCTAGGTATATTCCTTTTTCTTACCTTTTCGATTTGTTTACTCCTGGTTCCTCTGCTCATTTGTTCAACACAAGGTCCGAACCCTTAAACCTGTTTATTCCTTCTCATAGAACTATTTCCTTTAAAAAATCCTTTGTCATACGTGCTACCTTGTTTTAGGATTCCTTACCAACCTTCATACACTAATCCTCATCCTTGACCTCATTTAAACATAATTTATCTATCCATCTCCTCAGCAATCAATCTTCCAAATATGTGTAAAATAATACGTTTCAGAGCTGTCAGTCGCATTTAATGTTATTCTATATATAGTTATATATCATCCATATTTTTTATATGTACAACTATGTGAACTCACATAAGTGTCCGTCTTTCCCAAAGTTGATTGGGCAAGAAGCTACTTTCCCTTCCCCCTTTTCTCCTTAGATTTTTTATTGCTAACACTTTCTTAAAAACAGAGGAAAGTATAATTAGAAAAATCATAGATCATATACCGTTACACTGTAGAGAAGTTGTTTGTTCCATGCTTTATCTCTTTTGTTCCATCCCTTTATCTCTTTTTCTGAAACTTTTTATTCCGAAAATTCCTTATCCTGTTAAGATGTGCCGCCTCAAAATTTTTGATGGCTCAATTTTTGCCATAGAATTCCCCTTCTGGGCATCCCTGCTCGCACATATGGATTTTTTAATAATTTCATATGTCTGCTTGTTCCTCTTCTTTTAATTTTAGATCTAGATAATTTTTTATTAAATTTATTCTTAATTATTTCTAATACCAGACAATTGTCGTTACATTGTACATAGTAGTTATTCTATGGGGACTTATTATCCCAGAATAAAATTTACTTTCTTCTTCTCTTCTTCAATATATTTTTTCGCATGCCCATCTGTTGATTCATTACTCTGTAAACTTTCATTAAAATGTAGCTTATTTTTTATCCACAACATGATTGTGTTGCATTGTCATGTTCTGTCCTATTCTACTCATATAATTTTATATTCTTTTGTGTCTTAATTTTTTCCCTATTTTTCGCATTTCCTGTTTCTGTAGTTTGTTTTTATATTTTACTGTTACTTAGTTAGATTTATATTTGTTTTTTCACAAATCACTGTCCACTGGTTCATTATTGAATAAAAACAATCTTTTCATGATTATGATATTTTGGAATTATTTGATATGTTTGTTTATAAATAAAGGAAAATTTTTACTTTAATTACTTTTTTAGGTTCACAGAGGAGCCAAAGGTTTTGTTAGAAGTACCTCTGGAAACCCAATATATAATGCTACAATAGAAGTTGAAGGAATTGCCAAAACTATGAAAACAGCCAAAGATGGTGATTTTTGGAGGATTCTCACTCCAGGAAATTATAGTATTACTGCATCTGCACCTGGGTAATAGTATTATGTAGTATTGAATTAATATTGAATTCAAGATTAATATGTTATAAAGATTACTTATATTGAGATAACGGCAACTAAATATATTTCTAAGCCTCTAATATGAGGAATCTTGAAAGAAAACCGGCTAATAAATAAACAAAGACAAAAAATTGTTTCCTTATTTTATTGGTTAAAGTTAAGGACCCTGAGTTCAAACCTGATCTTTGCCAATCATGGATATTAGATGTAAAATACAAAATCCTATAACAATGTTTTGTAGTTTCGCACTAAAATAGATTTATTCTAGGGTTGTTTATCAGACTTCTATTCGATTTCTTAAATTAATTAATCATTATTTATAATTCTTACTAAATAAAATTCATTCCATTCAACTTTTAAAAACACAATTAAAACCCATGCATTATCAAAGGGGAACTATTAAACTTAGGTTGAATTGATAATAGAGCTGTGAATAAATTGTATTTGTTTATAATATAATATTTGTGAATTATTTTAACAATACTTAAGGATGGTTTAATAATTAGATTTTTAATTTTGGAAACAGGTAGTTTGAAATGAATTAAAATGAAATGTGAAGAGGTTTAAATAAACATTACCTTATAAGTGGAGGTTTTAGTATTAGAATTTTAAGTTATATAATTGATTTAGCTGCATATGATTGTATTTTTTTATAATAGGCATGTAATTATAAAATGAAAATAATTAATTAATGACCAAGTGTAATTAGGGTGTGATGATGTTTTGTTGTTTAAAGGTTTTTTCCCTTGAAAATGGTCTAAGGGGAAAAATGTTGGTGAAGAAAAAGAAAGAAAGTAGGACTTTTGGGATCTAATTGAGTGCTGTTATTATTATTAATCAGAGATTTAATGCCAACTGAAAAGATTTCAGTTCTGCCGACATGAAGCTTGAGTCCTGATCCAAATGAATGGCGGATGTGTTGGGGCGAGGGATACTTCAAAATCGAAGTACACAAAATTTAATACTCAGTGAACATAAACCCAAATTAACAATTATTAATAAAGCAAAAAGAAATCAATTTCTAAAATTAAAAATAAAACAAGAGAGAAAAATGTCTGTGGTAATGGTGAGAGAAGGGAACGAAAATATCCCAAATTGGAGGCTATATTTCCAAAGAGGTTACCTGATGTTCAGATATCAAAGCAGTCAATGGTGGGGGGATCGATATGCATATCGATCCTGATCGATGGCGCAGGTGAGGTGAAGATGAAGTGAACCTGGAGCAGCGGGTGGGGGTAGCTGTCCACTACGTGGATCTAATCTCATCAAAGGCTAGCTCCAGACTGACCACCCAGCAGTATTTTGATGTCTTAATCCCCAAGACAGGGTATTACTGCCGGGCTGGTGTGTATATACAACGCGATAATACATCGCAAGATAACCCTGAATATATAAAGAATGTACAATTCTGGGACAATTATCCCTCAGTTTCTACCAAAAAAAACAAATAAATAAACATTTTATTATTGACATATAAAAAGGGGTCAGAATGTTTAGAAAAAAATAAATAAAGATCTGAGCGTATGCGGCGTTAACAGGATGGGATACCGAAAATATTAAACTATATTTTTGTTTATGTATCTCTGAGGCCCCTTAGCCCACATTTTTGTCTTTCTGTATTATTCTGAAGGGACTCATCCCAGAATAAATAAAGCATTATTATTATTATTATATTCCCTCCTATGGAACTAACACCCATGAACGTTCCTTATCAGCTCGCTCCGTTACCTTCTGGAATTCCTTACCATTTAACATCCATTATGTCTCTTTCCTGTCATCATTCAAATACCTCCTTACATCCCAAACAGACGATATGAAATAGTGATATTTCATTTTATGAATTGAATTTTATTAGAAGTAAATAGTAGTGCATACTGTTTTAAGTTTTAACATCTAATATATACAAGTTTTAAGTATGTGTATATATATATATATATATATATATATATATATATATATATATATATATATATATATATATATACACACATACACTATATTACACATATATATATAAGTATATATATATATATATATATATATATATATATATATATACATACACTATATTACACATATATATATAAGTATGTGTATATATATATATGTATATAATAAAATATATCTATATATAGAATAGAAAATAAATTTTATTCTGGGATGAGGTCCCTTAAGAATAACAATTATGAACAAAAAATAAAAACCATATCTGGCCAAAAATTACATTAATCATAATCAAAGAATATATACAATATCTTCAGTGAAAGTATATTAAAACAAATAAAAAAGTAGAACCATTTAAAAAAAAAAACCAACATTATTAAAGTGAAAAGAAAAACAGAAATCAGGGGAAATAAGAAATGTTATAAGCACTATAGGTTGATTCTTAAAATTAAAACTCAAACAATTTCAACAACCATTTACCTCAGTCAAAATTTGATTCATAATATTTATTTCATTGTACAACATCATTTTAGGATGTGAGAAGGAATTGGTAGAGATGATATTTGAATGAGGACAAGGCAGAGGCATAGCGGATATCAGATGGCAAGGAATTTCAGAAGGCAGTAGATCGGGCAATAAAGGAATACTCAAATGTCTTAGTTCTATGGGAAGGGATATAAAGGTCGGATACACGGGATCTTGTTTTCTAAGAGTGGACAATGGGTTTGAACTGTAAGAGACTATAGATGTAGGAAGGGTGTCAGGTGTTGATTGTTCGGAATAGGAAAGATCCAAGGAAATATTGTCGGCAGGAAGAAGGGAAGAGCCACTTTAACTCGTTGTAAAGGTGGGACAAATGAGACCACCTTGAAGTACTGGGAACGAATCTTAAGCAGGATTTCATAAGTCGTTTCAATTTATCCTCGAGTACCATCGGGATGCCTCAATACCTATGGTACCTATTGACTTTCGGGAGATAAGGGCGATATGGGGTTTCCAGGAGAGTTTTTCGTAATGGTAATTTCTAGATTTTTAACGGAGAAGCTGAATGTGATGAAATGATCGTTGATGACTAAAGGAGGAAGGAAGGAGATGGATTTAAGAAGAGAACTGCAAACTATAATAATGGTCTGAGTTTTCATTTTGTTTAGCTTTAAATTATTTAGACTTGCCCAGGCACTGATCCTATCTAGTTCTGCCTGAATATTGGCGAATGACACTAATAGCTCAGAAGGGTGAAAGGATTTGGGAGTCATCAGTGTATAAGTGGTGTGAACAGTGGTAGATGGATTTGAGAAAATCATTTATATAGGAATTAAAAAGAAGAGGGAAAATGCTCGAACCCTGGACCACTCCAGAGAACAGCATTAGGAAGGAAGATAGTTGTTAGTTCAGAATGCTAATTACTTGAGTGCGGTTGGAAAAGAAAGACTGAAACCAAAGAATAGAGTTGTTGGAGAAGGATACAGATTTTAATTTAGTGTAGAGTATAGAGTGGTCTCAGGAGTCAAAATTTCATGCTCTGAATTTTCATTAATTTTCATGCTCTGAAAAACTTAAATACTTTGCAGAAATAAGCTTAATGAGCAGAAAAACAAGAAATAAATAAATTCAAGGTAACCTCAGAGAATATATTTTATGCTCACATAAAGTAAAAAGTTAACATCTACATTGCTAAAAAATAAAGAAATAATCAATATTTTTCCATTAAAAATAAATTAAGTTTTTATCAATTAAATATATTAAGTTGGCAAATAAGTCCTTTCAGTTTTTCAGAGTGAAATAAAACTCAATGTATTATAGATATTAGAACTTATTTTAATCTACAATATATACAATATACAACTGCATAATGCCATGTTCATAGAATGTCTGGAGTTTATGGTTAAAAAACCGATCCAAGTGGTTTTTGATGTCCTCTTCCTTTTGGAATTTCTTTCCATTCATGGAGTTCTGAAGAGACCAGAATAAGTGGTGGTAGTCTCTTGGAGCTAGGTCCGGTGAATAGGGAGGGTGAGATAAAAGGTCCCATCCAAGGCTCAATTTTGGCTCAAGTTTGATTTCACTTTCCTGATCATTGTTTATATCAAGTTACGGAGTACCATGTAGGCTTGATAAACATCTGCTAGTTGAGTCTCTCTCTATGTATGTATATATTAACCCTAGATCGACACTTAAATACATAATTTGATGAATTCATCTTTGTTATTCTAGGGGGTCTTAGTCCCAGAAGAAAGTTCTATTTTCTATTCTATTCTATTCTAAATACATCAATTCATTCTGACACGCTGGTATGTGGTACACACCAAACTTTAAATTATTATAAAATTTAATTTTCATGCTCTGAAAAACTTAAATACTTTGCAGAAATAAGCTCAATAATTTATTTCGAGTAACCAATGAGATGAAGGGCCTAGCACTGTCTTGCTGGAACGCAACACCCTTCCGATTTGCCAGTTCTGGGTGTTTATTTTTAATTGATTGATCCAATTTTGTTAATTGTGAGCAGTATAGAGTTGAATCAATCACGCCCTGCCACCTGATTTCTTCCTTAATTAAGATTTCCTTAGTAAAACTTTTATATCATATTTTTTAAAACTTAATTTAGTTTGAACATACAACATTGTTGAAAATATGTATCCAGATACAAGTATCTGTATCTGAGAAATATCCAATACCCATTGAGTTACCAACATTTTTTATTCTGGTCTGTACAAATCTTAAGATTTGACTGGATCTGCAATGGATAAAGTACAAAATGAAAGATGTTATGTTGAAAAACTATATGTAATATATTTATTTTTGTTATTTCATATGTTAAAAAAAAAGTTAAAAATTATAAGAATATATAATAAAGGTGTATATATATATATATATATATATATATATATATATATATATATATATATATATATATATATAGATATATATAAAGAGGTAAGAACAAAATAACAAAATTTAAATATGATTATTAAGTGAATAAATTCTAATTTGTTCATTGGTTATTTTATATTTATAAAATATATTTTTTTTATTTATTCATGATATTTACAACTGTATTGAAAGATTAAATACATTAAATAAATTTATAAAATATAAACACATTTATTGAAGCTTCACGTGTAATTAGTGGTATTATTAAGGTAAACATGAGTTGTTTTTTTTTTTGTTTTATCTAACATATGTTCAGTATTCCTTATAAGGAATAATATAAGTTGCATTAAAAGACTGTACTGATTAAAATATTTTTGTTTTCATAAGTGTGAAAAAAATAATTATATGATCTATCTGGAAAATATGAGTTCACATGTATTTTTCATGATATTTATGTTTTAGTTTAATATTATTTTAAATTTATGAGTTATTTATTCTATTAAAATTGTTTTTCTCCTTAAATAATAATTTCATTGTTATAATTAATTTAGGTTGTATTTTACTTATTTTATTGCAATTATCAGGTATGTAAGTGAAACTAGAACATCTATTATTGTTCCCGATGATGTGAATGGTGTCTCAGTGAATTTTACTTTACTTCGTGATGATCCTGGAGCATGGTCAGTTGAATATGATTTTAGTCAAGCTTCAAATATACAGCCAATAGAAAATTATCTGACTGATGAAGAAATCAATAAGGAACTTATTTCATTAGATAGAAATGCACCTGATCTCGTACAGTTTTTTGACAGTTCTTTAGCTTTCTTAAAAATGTCAGAACATGTAAGTTCTATTTGATTATAAATGTATCATTAGTTTAAGGAGTTCTGTATAATATTGCTAAGTGACAAATTATTGATTCACTCACTTGAATTGTTTTAAACATTTTCCTTTCTTTGGGAATAATTATATTAATATTAAAATCTTAATAGTAATATGTACAATTTTTTAATGTTTAATTATCTAAAGTTTTAAAATTAGTCAGGATTATCTAAACTACAAAACATATACACAAAAATGAACACTAATGGGCCTGTGTGTACCCACACACAAACAGACTTAAAGGTGGGATCCAGAGGGAGCCATACCTAGCCAAGTACGGCCTTAACCAGCTCCCCCTTATCCTCTTCCTCCATGACAAGTAGATGTGAATGCCACCTTATGGTGAAATGCTCGGGAAGGACCAAACCCTAGCACTTGCTCTCAAACTGTTTACCCTGGCCGGTGGTCAATTTTGCTGAAACTCTGAATTTTGATATCTATCCTTGGTAGAATGCCTTGGCCATGACTTTAGCTGTGATTTCGTCTACTGCTATTGCCTCAGGCCAACATGTGAAACGATCACTCATTGTTACCAAGCATTGCTTTCCTCTTGATAAGGGGAAGGGACCAACTATGTCCTCGTACACATGCTCAAATTGTTCAGCATACTCAAATTAAAAAAGTGTATAAAAATTTACCAGTAGGAGTGATAGTATGCCTTAAAACTTTTGCTCATAAAAAAGCACACATGACCTCCCCCATTCGGCAGCATCTTTGTCAAGACTTGGCCAAAAATATTTCTGAGACAATAGCTTGCGCGACTTCATATTCCTGGATGATTCAGTGTGTGCAGGGAATCAAAGATTTCCATTCGAAGAGACTTTGGTATATAAACTTGAGCTTATTCCTGAGATGTTTCATAGAGAATTAGTTCCTTTGATCCTGGAAGATTCAAAAGTTTTAACTGGAAGTTGGACTGTTTCTTTAGAGAATTTACTTCCAGGTCTTCTTTCTGTACAGTTACTAATCAATCCAAGTCCTTTTATGTATATGTATATGGTATAGTACAATGGGCACGAGATAGATCATCGGCTACTTGATTTTCTTTTCTATTTGCATGTTGTATATCTGTAGAAACTGTGATATGAAGTTTAATCAACTTATTCGTATTGGTGATGCAGGTTTCTGGTGCATAGGAAATGCTACTATAAAAGAGATGTGTGATCTGTCAGGATTATAAAGTTCCTCCCTTTGACCACCGGTTTAAAATATCTCATAGCAGAATAAGTTGTTTGTGCTTCTAATAATGCCTTTGAGTAAACATGTAGGGGTACCCAGTGTTTCCTCTCTGTTGTAGCACCGCTCCCATACAGCGATTTGATGCATCACAGGCTAATGACATTTCTGCTTCTGCTTTAGGATGTGCCAATAATGCTGCATCCTTCAAACTCTCCTTGCAGCGTTCTAAATCCTGAATGCTTTCTTTACTCCATTTGATTAAATTCAAATAACCCAAAAGGTGTTAAATTGCAGTTTTGGGCATATCTTCACAAATCAGAATATGATAATTATCTTTTACCAGATCTACACAGAAAAATGAGTTTGTTCTAGTTCCATGCAATATAACATAAACCCGTCTGGACTAGGCTTCATGAAATTTTTCATTTGAGGAATGACTGAAAAAGTTGCTCCTCTATCAATTTTTAGTGACAACCCTTTCCACTTATCCTTAACGAAAGGCGGCACTGGGTAATAGTGGCAGAGGTATATGATACTTCTATACCATCCACTAGTTTCTCAACTTTGGGTGTTGTTTTTCCCATGGATAAGGCTGGGTGCATTTGATAGCTTTCTTTTTAATTTTTTTGCTTCAAGATTTTAATCGATATCCTATTTTTCCAGAAATTTATGTTGTTTATGTTAGGTTTTACAAAATTTGTAGGGTTTATTTACATGTTCTCAGGCAAACTCTGATCTTTTTTTTTTCAGTTTATTTTGTTTATAAAAGGTTTTTCTTTCCGCTCTGCCTCTGTAGCCAGCTTCATGTAGCCAATTTCTCATGGTTTGGGTTATTACAGATTTCTCATAATCTGACAGAATGTAAACCGAAACCTCTCAAGCACTTAATTTGGGATGTTTTGCCACTTAAAGCACAATTTTACTTGATTTTCGCACTGTCAACAACGGTTTTCTCCCTGGGCGGGATTTATTGTTCACTGATTCAGATTTAAATTTTTTTATGATTTAATTCACTGATTCATGAGGTCGTCTAAACTTTTTCCAATATACCGCAAACTTAAACCCTGTTGAAAATGTTTTACGTCATCTTTAAAATGAGAACTCAATTATTTGGACCTACGTCCCATTGCCGAAGAAATATTTTTTATTACTGCACTAAACTAGCAATTTCTCATGCAGTTTTATCCTTTAATCTTCTGGAGTAATAGGTTATAAATAGAACATTAAAACACTGTTTTAATAACATAAATTATCATATCATTAACACTAGAGTAGGAATGCTTTTTTTGTGTACAAATTATTAAAGTATGAATTATATAAAAATTATGAAATTTTAAAAGTTGGCATTACATAAAATTAATAAAAAACAAAGTTGCATTGATATCTGCCATTGTTTCAAGTTAAAAAAATTATAGTGAACCATTTGGCCAAAAAGCGGGATCTACGAATATTTTTTTGCCCACTATACATATATATGGTGATATTAATGACACATAATTATATATTTTTTCAATCAAATTGTTTAATTATTATTGATGATACTTGTCTAACATATCAATTTATATGTATTTATTTTGTTATACTGAATGTATTTATCTGATGATTTGTAGGTTGCTTCTTCAAATGAACATAAATTGCATGTGGCTGTAGTTGGCGGATTGTATAGAACTGAACCCTCTGGTAGAGAACTAGCTCTGAGATTAGCTAGACATTTGTTTGTTGGATACAAATTACATGATCCGATAATAGATAGGATCTTAAAAGAATCAATTATTTATATTATACCTTCTATTGATGATGTTGCTATGACTGATTGTTACAATACAGAAAATATTACTAATCAAGTTGTGTCAAATATTCTTTCACAATCCAAAAGTAATATTAAAGCAGCTGCATTTTTAAAGATACTCGAAGAACTCAAATTTGACTTGATGATTAGTATTGAAAGTTCTGGATTAGGCTTGAGGTATTTATTTTGAATTAATATTTGTTAATTATTATTTTGAAGATTAATTTTCATTTTAGAAAATATAAGATAGATATGTAATATAAGGAACAAATTTGGTTCCGAGTCTGTCTGTAGTCAAGTTCATGTGATTGATATAACAACTATTATCATTGATGAAATTTACAGGGATTATGGGAGATGGTACATTGATTGTTTTATATCAATTTTATCACACTCTATTCGTTACTTTTGCCTACTCTCAAGGGCTTAAGTCCACAGCTAGTGAAAATGATGATCCTCTGGGATCCCAAATTCATTACACTGGACAAACACACAGAGAACAGTACACTCCTCACTATACTGAAGCAAGGTCACCTATATTACACACCCTATGCTCACCTCCTAGGAAGCCGTCTAGAATGAGGGAATAGGAGTGGAAAGTAGATTATGAGAAAATCAGAAGGGCCAGAGTGGATATTGATGAAGAAGAAAAATTAATTTTATTCTGGGACATTTAGTCCCATCAGTATAACTACAATGAACAGTGAAATGTCAATTGTCTGGCATTAGAATACAATTAAAACTAAATTAACTTACTAGCTATTTAACCCTAATATGAAAATGAATAAAAAGTGTTTGTAGACATATAAATTTATAAAAGATATTTATAAAAGATAAATACATATGAGTGAGTTCACGTATTTGTACAAATAAAAAATATGGATAATACATAGATATCTGTAAGATAACAGTAAAATGCGGCTAACAGCTCTAAGATATTAAAAAAAACATTTTTACATATATTCGGAAGATTGATTGCTGAGGAGATGGAAAGATAAATGAGTTCAAGGATGAGGATTTCTGTATGGAGGTTGATGGGGAATTCCAAAATAAGGTAGCACATGTAACAAAGGATTTTTCAAAGGAAACAGTTCTATGAGAAGGAATAAACAGGTTTGAGAGTTAGGATCTCGTGTGGACAGAGAAACAAGGACTTAACAAATCAAGAAGGTAAGAACGTTTTTTGGTACTAAATGTTTGGAAATGGAAAACATCGAGGAAATATTGCTGTAGGAAAACTGGATAGAGCCACTTCGGCATAGCAGCTGGAGGCGTGGGAGCGCCTGGAAACTTCAAAGATAAATCTAATAAAATAATTCATTAGTCTTTTTAATTTGATCTCAAGCCCACCAGACAGTCCACCATATACAAGGCAGTCATAATTGAAGTGAGGAAAAATGATAGAGGAAACTAGGAGCTGGCGGATTTAAGGTACATAGAGTCACGGAATCACAGGAACTGTTTGAGGGTAGCAATGGATTTTTGGATTGTTTGGGAAATTCCATTATTCCAGGACAGATATTGATCAAACATTACCTCCAAGGTTTCTGTGAGAAGTGTGGAAACGTATGGGTAGCCCAGTGAGGTAGAGTAGGAGATAATGATGAATGGAATTAATTAAATGCTTGGAACCAATGAGAATGGCTTTGGTCTTCTCAAAATTTGATTTTAAATCACTGCTCGCTGCCCAAGTATTTAGATAGATAGATAGATAGATAGAAAAATAATTTTATTCTGGGACACAGTCCCTTGAGAATAACAAAACAGAACAAAATTAAAAGATCACATCTGGCCAAAATAAAATCAAACGAAAAAAAAAATTATACTGTCAATTTCTTCTTGTGGCCTTCGGATCACCTCAAGCATCTGGGTAAGATAGAAGAGCTCGTAGCAATCCATCTGGAAACCTCTACGTAATAATGAATACCTCAATAGAAGGCCACGTGAAAGGCCAAAAAGCAGATGGATAGATAGAATCATGAAAGATGCAACAGAGCTGCGTGCAGATAATTGACAGGCAGAGATGGAGTAGGCTTATTAAGGCGGTAAAAGATCTATAGGGCCTGTAATGCCAACAGGGAAAAAAAAAAGAAATTTAGTTAATTCATGTGACTACGGTGGTGTCATTCATTGGCTGACAACCACTCATTCGTTCAACCTATGGTACTCCTTAAAAGAACATTTATTAACCAGAAATGTCATATTGAATTAACAGTTGGTGTCATGTGAATATTTATTATGCTGTTTATAGTAATACCTTAAAGAAACTTGCATTAATTAAGAAAAACTACATTAATATTTGAATCCCCTGTAGCTCACTTTATTTTATAATAGAGAAAATCAGAGCTTTATATGACAAGTATTAAATTTTACCTCCTCTCAGTTTATGAAAATAAATTAAGGTGATAAAAATCATTTATTAAAAGTTTTCTAAAATAAAAATCCTAAGCAAGCTTAAAAAATGCTTCCTCTAAACGATTCTATTTGTTATTAAAAACACTGATTTTTTTTTTTACTCAAATCATTTTGTAGTGAATTTTCTTTCATGTGTAATAAATAAATTTAGTTGTAAAGAATACATTTTTAATATTAGTGTCCCTAGACATATCGGTCAGGGAAAACTATCATTAAATATAGCGCAGTAACCTTGTACATTGTAAGTTGCATTGAATAGGGGTAGAAGGTTTCTTTATATTTTCTTGTTTAGGATGTGATTGAGATGCAAAATCCAAGTTTTCGACCTCGGGGCCCCCCAGGATCACTTTTGAAAATTCCAAAAACTGCTAATTTTTCGCACTTCTTTCCATTATAACCATAAAGGACCACATTTTTGAGAATGTGACAAAAAACATTCTATACATTTTTAAACTAGATTAAATATTCTACAATTTAAGGCTATAACATGCTTGGTAAATCAAATAGTTTTTGAGGTATAGATTTTTTATTTATTATCAAAGTTAGAAAAATTTTAAACTATTTTTCATTATTTATTATATGCAATTGTCTTTTATCTTCAATAACCTATCTGATATGAGTCAGTGAAGTAAACATTTATTCATTTTCACATTTTGAAGGAGGAGTGATGGAGGGGAAGAGGAATGTTTGGTGGGCAACGGTAGGCCGTTTTCCAGAACCCCCTACCCCTACTTTAATTATCTGGTAGCTGCCCTCTTTGAGTTTCCTAAGACCAAGAAAATATAGTTGAATACATAAAACAATGCAATTGATAGGATAATAGTATTGGGTTATTTTGTTATTACATTCCATCATATAATTTTAATCTACTAGAAAACCATTTTATATTAAGATAATAATCAGCAAACACCAATTATGGGTGTGTCATATCTTGTGAAGTAAATGCAATAGTATGAACCTATCAAACACAGTTGCTTGTTTATAGTTCTGGTACATAGGTATCTTAATACTTTGTTCATTAATTAATAGAATTTCCTGTTAAATTTGTATCATAAATTTGTTATAAAATTTCTATATTTAGAACTTTTCCTTAGACATATATATGTGTGCACATGTTTAGTAACCCTTTATTTAATGCTTAGTCCATCTATGACCTATGTTTTAGTTCAAAAACGTAAAAGCAAATTAATTAGTTTATGCATTACAGGCACTCTCAAGAACATGATATTATTAGATCTTCTGTTTATGATATGCTTACTGAAACTTATAAAGAACTTCGTCCTGGAAAGGTTAGTAGTCTTTTCTTATCTTGCTTTCAATATTCTAACCTTTTTTTTGTTATTTTATTTGGTTTGTATAGCACAACAGCCATAAAGGTATATTATGTACCACCTATTGGTTTTACTGTTTAATGTCAATCTTGTAGTCTTATCACAGAACATAAAATAGAATTATAAGTACAGATCACTCTAATCAGAGGGTTTAGAGCGATACAGCTTGGCGGTATTGGGCAAAATTTATCTTAAATAATAGATAATAGGTAACGAATGATTTATTTGTATTTTCAACTACGAATAACGAATATTTCTAATTGTGGGTTGATGGTTGACTGTAGTGAATAATGGAAGAGAAGGATGGTTGGGGTGATCAGTCAAAATAAAAATAGTAAAAAAAAATAATTATATTTATTTTTATATTTGCCGATGTTTTGGCCCAAAGTTCAGGGCTAAGAAAAGAACCTGATAACGATAGGTATAAGAAACTATAAGCATTGAATAATAAAAAATTAGAATTAAAAGGGTGAAAGTTATAGAATAAAAAATGTAGGTAGAAAAAATTGAAAGTAAAATGAAGTAGATAGAGTGAACATTAAAGTAAAATAAAGTAGGTAGAATAATAGCAGTGACAGAGAACTAAGAAATAAATAATAATAACGACAACAAAGTACAGACTAATCAAATAAACATGATCAAAATATGGTAACGTAAGAAATGAAAAATATTAATCTTAGAATAAAATGTAAAACAGAGAAAAAGAATATGAAGTTATCTAAATTGTACCCATTAACGATAATTGCTCTAAGGTCTCCGAGTAGTTCTTTTTTTTTATAAGCTCTTATTATAATAATTTTCTAAAATTATTAATTTTGTGTGTCTTATTGTTGTTATGAAGGAAGGAGATAGTCCGGGGTGGCGGTCATAAATAGGCTAAATAGTGGTAAAACTATTTTATTAAAAGCCAACATTTCGACCCGACTTTGCAGGTCTTCTTCAGGGAGGTGTGTTCAGCTAGGAGTTTCACTTAGAACTGAGAGTGAACTTAGAACTTAGAACTCTCAGTTCTAAGTGAAACTCCTAGCTGAATACAGCTCCCTGAAGAAGACCTGCAAAGTCGGGTCGAAGCGTTGGCTTTAAATAAAATAGTTTTACCACTATTTAGCCTATTTATGACCGCCACCCCAGACCATCTCCTTCCTTTATAATGCAATGGTCAACTATTAAATATTCAATAATGTTATTATGATTTTGATCTTTGTCATTTAGGTTGGTAAATGTTCTGGAAGTTTGACAAAAATAACATCTGTGAAACAGTCACTTCTAGAAATGCTGCAGCACACTTTCAATGTTACTGCAGTAAGTAGATTTTGAAATAATATATTGTTTCGATTTGTTGATGGTTTAAATATATTTATTTGCAATTTCAATTAAACAAAATACAAAAAAATAATATATTAAGTACATTTTAACCTAATCATATAATCACTGTTTAATTTAATGGTCACAGTTTATTTATTTTTATTTTGTATAGCTGTCTGCTCAAATAGACTGCTGTAGCTATATTTTACCAACAGAAATCCCTAATATTTGGCGACGTAATTTGAAACCTCTAGTTGGCTTGTTGCATAAAGCAATGCAAGGTTAGTTATTTTGTTATAAATTAAAGATTATTTGGTATTATAATTAAAACTTATTACTTCTGTTTATTATTGAATTTAATCTATTCATATTTGACTCACCAAAAAATAATCTTTTTTTTTATTGTCAGGTATTAAGGGAAGAGTTTTTGATGCTATGAATAATCCTATGCGAGAAGCCGTGGTCACTTTAAATGAGTCTGCTGCATACACTGTTGGTGTAACTTCAAATCAAGCCCTGTTTAAATTTACTTTGCCTCCTGGATTTTATACTCTCAAGGTTGGAACTTGGATAAATGACAATATTTTTAAAAAGAAAATAAATTAAGTGAAATAAATTTTGCTGTTATCATTATTTTTAGATATTATGTCCATTTCATAAGACGAAGTTTGAAAATGTTACTGTTCATGAAGCAGCCTTCACTGAAGTTAACATTGAATTGGAATCTTCCCATTTCACTCTACCCACTGTTCACACTCCTTTGAATAAACCGGGAATTACAGGTTAGTAATTGATATACAGTCATTACTTACAACCATCAGGATCTGCAACATTAAAAAACAAAAGTAAAGAATTGGTGTCAGGTACAATGGTGTCATTTTATTCTGGGCATGAACAACGGGATGCAATTGATTTCTTTTAACATCCCGATGATCTGCACAATTTTAGCAGCTTATGTCCTGTTAGTTAATGTGTGCTTTTCAGTGGAGTTGTCATTTACTACTAAGATTTTCTCGTGTTTCTATTAAGCTTATTTCTGTTTTTTTACTCATAAAAAGGTACTGGTACTGGTGGGAGGACTTAGTCCAGCAAGTGGGCCTATTGCTCCTTTTTGCCAACCCCAAAAATTGATACTACCAGTGGTTGTCTATTTTACCTCTATTCTGTCTCAAACCTTTTTGTTCTTCTAATTCAAAAGGTTGGGCCATTTTATGGAGGCAGCTTTGCATACTTGGATTCTGTCTGCTCCTAGAAGTCTGTATCTGAGTGACGCAAATCGGTTACATTCTGTTATGAAGTGAAGGGCAGTTTCAGGTGCACTTCTGCAAAGATTACAGAGTTTATCATCCACTATCCCACAGATCTTTATATGTCTTTTAAGTCTGCAGTGGCCTGTTAGTACTCCGATGATGAATCGGATTTCTTTCCTAGTTAGGCCCAGCAGCCACTTTGTTTTGGAGAGAGAGGGGCTTTTAATAAATTGCTTCATTTGTCTATGCCCCGTGCATTCCCTCCAATCTTTATCTGTTTTTTTCCAAGTCCAATCATGGACTTCTTTCCGCTGATGCTTTTTGGATATTCCTATTGCAGGTTCCGGACCTACAATAGGAAATTCCTTTCCTTTCCTTGCAAGGGCATCGGCTTTTTCATTGCCTCTAATTCCCTTGTGACCAGGGACCCACACTGATTCCACCCTCTTGGAGCAGGCCAGTGTCTCCAATGCCTGTTTACACTCCTGCACTAGTGTGGAGGTCACTTTGGGAGACTCCAATGCTTGTAGTGCCGACTGACTATCCGAATAGATAGTGATGCCAGCATTCTCCCAATTGGTAACTTCTAAACAGGTGGCTGCAGAAAGTATAGCAAACACCTCTGCTCATAAAAAGGCTAGTAAAAGTAATAAAAATAAGAGAAAGTCAATAGACCTAGATACTAAAAAAATAAAATCATAAAACCTTGAGAATAATAAAAAATAATGAGAATGAGAAAACTGTCAGGCCTATCAGGGGAATTTAAACTATCTCATTTGACTGTTTTAACTATATTAAACGACTAAGTATGAATTATGGGAGCAGTTAAAAAAAAAGAAAAAAAAAAAAAAAAAAAAAAAGGTCGATTGTAGATCTATTTGTCCTGAAACTGCATTGATACTCACCAAGAATACGTTCGGACCATACTTGTAACTTTTTATTTAGGAGCGAGGAAAATGCCTTATATACTACCCCTAGGAGAGATATACTTCTATAATTTTCACATTTAGTTCTATCTCCTTTTTTAAAAAAACTGGGCAGATAATAGCTACCTTCCACTCTTTCATCATTTTTTTCTTTGACCCACACCTCCAACAAGTCGTATACTTTCTTTACTAGGTCCTCACCACCATATTTCAACATTTCCGCGTCAATGCCATCGTTTCCCGGGCTTTTATTATTTTTAAGTGTTTCAACCACTTCCACGAAATCCGGATAATCAGAGGGCTCCACATCATCTTCACCATTCTGCAATTCCTCTTGTGTACGTCCATACAGCACATTCCTCACTGTGTTTTCATCTCCATTCAGAAGTTCCTGGAAATATTGTCACCAAGTATCCAATACTTCTGCAGTTCCTCCCACCATGTTACTTTCTCTATCTTTGCAAACACCTTTCCTCGTTTGGAAACCATGTTTAAATTCTCTGATCCCTCTGTAAAACTTTCTGGACTGTTATGTTTCCCATTCAACTTGTAGAATTTCCACTTTTCTTCTTTCCATCATACTTTTCCTCTTCCTACAAATAGTCTTGACAGCCCTTCTTTTTGTGTACAGCCCTTCATATTTCTCTGCAGCATCTCCATTCTTACTTCATTCCTCTCCCTCAATGCCATCTGACACTCCTCATCAAATATTTCACTTCTTGCCACAATCCCTCTCACTCCCAGGACCTCTTCCTCTGTCCTACTTAATGGGCTTTCACTTCTCCTCCAATTATCTTCCATTCCTCTTGTATGCCCAACTTTCACTTCCTTGTATGCCCATCAAGGCTCCATTCAATTTTTCCTTAAATGGTTCTTATTAGTTTTTCAGTTCGAGGAGATCACTGTTATATCTTGTGAACTTCTCTCCATGTCCTCTAGCCCTTCTAGCAACCTTCTGCTCATAACATACCTTAACCAAAAAGTGATCAGAGTCGACATCTGAGCCTCGATAACTTCTCACATCCGAGATGTATGAGTTATGTCTACCATTTATGAGAATGTGGTCAATTTGATTTCTTATCTTTCCATCTGGGGATATCCAAGTTTCTTTATGAATATCTTTGTGTGGGAAATGTGTGCTTCTAATTGTCATACCCTTTTCCATGGCAAAATCGATAATTCTCACCCCATTATCGTTTGACACATCGTGTTTACTGTGTGGTCCAATTGTGGACCTAAATGCCACTTATTTACCAACCTTGGCATTCATATCTTTCATAATTATTTTTACTCATGTCCAGGCAGCAAATAATATTTATTCCCTGGAGTGAGTGTCATAAAAATTATCTTTGTCGTCATCCTCGCTATCCTCTATTGGTGCATGTACATTATTATAGATGTATTAAAGAACCTCCCTTTTAAACGGATCACACATAGTCTTTCATTAACAATTTTAAAGTTCAAAAGTAAATACTTCAGACTTTTCCATATCATGAAACCTGTGCCCAGGTAGTTTCGTTGGTGTCCACTATTTACGATCATATACTTCTTAAAGTCCGTTGTCTCTATTTTTCCCCATTGTATTTCTTGCTGTGCAGCTATATCCACATGGTACTTCTCTAGCACTTCCTCCAAGTTCTTGCTTGTTCCAGCTTGGGCCATTCCTCTAACATTCCACGTTGCGAACATTAAAGATTTCAAAATTCCTTTGACTCGCCTATGTTACTCCATTAAGTCAGTCTTGCTTTTCTTTGTTTGCGGTTTCATAAAAATTGTGTTTTTCCAGAATAGGGGGTTAACCCTATGCCCAACCTCCAACCTGAAGGGCAGAGATTTTTAATCAGGGTTTACTCCCTTAGCCTCTGAACTTTCATTCTCATCCATAAGGCCATGGGGGATAGGTATTCAAGGAATAAAAGGATTAGGATGAAGGGGAATAATAATCAGCAAACACCAAGTGTCATATCTTGTGAAGTAAATGCAATAGTATGAACCTATCAAACACAGTTGCTTGTTTATAGTTCTGGTACATAGGTATCTTAATACTTTGTTCATTAATTAATAGAATTTCCTGTTAAATTTGTATCATAAATTTGTTATAAAATTTCTATATTTAGAACTTTTCCTTAGACATATATATGTGTGCACATGTTTAGTAACCCTTTAGTTAATGCTTAGTCCATCTATGACCTATGTTTTAGTTCATAACAATTGTTATTTTTTTTTTCATAAGAATTTATATACTAATTTTTAGTTGTAACTATAGACAAACCCTGGATTGGAAAGGGAGGAAAGATAGGATAAGGTAAGAGGTCAACGGTCAGTTATCCCTTTAGTCGACTTTTACGACAAGTGGTGAATACTGTGGGTCTACTCTACCCCCTTACCCTCAGGGGCATTCCAAAAGCCTTACTAAAATAAATTTACAGTTCAATGATTCAAACTTTTATTTGAAAAGTTCGAATGACAAATAAAAAGATAATAGACAACTTCAGATTATTTATTTAAGACTTATTATAATGACAGAGTTTCATCTTAAATAATTATTTAATTATTTACTCTGTTCCTCACTAGTTTTTTTTTTCATAAGAATTTATATACTAATTTTTAGTTGTAACTATAGATAAAACTAATTAGTTGTAAATGTAACTGATAAATGGTTATAGCTAAAAATTAGTTGCCTGTTTCTGCTAATAGCTAATTTAGCTACAATAATTACAAACAGCTAATTTAGCTATAGTTTTTAGCTGTTAGTTACAGATAATTTTTGCCCAACTCTGAGAGTAGTAAAATACATTAGAATATTCAGACTGCAATGAGTCAAGAATCTCTCAACATTGTCGACGTTTGAGTGCTCATGAACGAATGCTATTAAAAATATTAATAACAACATCAAGCATATGTTCTATGTCTTGAGCAGACTTACACAGTGCTTCTTGATGACACAATGAAGAAGCACAACTTCGTTCTCAGGAAATGATTTTTTAAATATATAACGCAAAAGAACAGAATTTAAACTCTCTTATCTTTGACTTTAGTTGTGAGACAAACTGCTTATTAATTACTTCAATTCTAGAAGTAATTGTTTTTCAAGACAAACTTTCTGTCTTGAAATCCTTTGTTTTGTCAAAACACAAAACGTCACATACTTGGAGCATACAAGTTTTTACAATCAGAAAATGAGTTATTTTTTGCAATATTGTATGCTACTGGCATGTGTGTGTAGAAGCTTTTGAAAACAGTTTTGTTATTTAAAAATAATTTGCTAACCTGACAGTAGAGCTCCTGCTTTTTGCTTCTGTTCTTCTTCGATCATAGTTTCATAAGTGGCATTGTTATGATTTGTCATGTGGGAGGTTTAATTCCTTGAATACAGCTTCCTTTATTACAAATGAGCTACACAGGTTTATCCTTAATAGACGTGAAAAAGTTTTCCAAGTCCGCTCATCTTGGTGGGCGGAATGGCCGAATGGGCTAACGTGTATACACAGCACCACCGTTGCCCGGCAACCTGATCTATGAGACAGTGGATTTAAAATAGTCAGGAGTTCCCATACCCGTTGTTGAGGGAGTCTTTTAAATCCTCGCCCACACCCCCTGGCCCATGAAAACCCTGTTTAACCTTAGAGGCGAGGAAGGGGAGGACCCCCCCCCAAAAAAAGAAAAAAAAATCCACTTATCTTTAAAAACATGATATTATGAATCAACTTTACGTCTTTTACTTGCCATTGTAATGATCAAAAAACACTACCAACATATCAAAACTATAGACGTACAAGCCAGACACACAGCAGCAGAGGTTATTCAACACTGACTTTGTGACTGTCCGAACTACCCTGACCTTGGGAACAAACAAAACAAAAATGGTAGCGCCTGATTCATTCCAATCTTAGCCGAGCAACACTGAGCACTCTACAGGTCTGGCCGGTTAATATTATGTACGATAATTTTGTACTTAAAATGCAATCCAAAGCAAACTAATCTAGCTATGCAGAAAATACATTCGCAAGTCAGATTGGCCTCACTTGGCCCGCAGGCCGTACTTTGCCCATGACCAATCTATAGGATGAGGTATTATCAACAGGTTTACCTGGTTTAGGGAAGAGGATAATTATGTAGTGTTTGAAAGTAGGTTGTATGAAAGATGCTATTATATAAATAAGTAAGGAATATTATGGACATTTTTGGTAGTTGTTGAATGATCTGAGAAGTGAGGAGATCGTCATGTTATACCTACCCTGAATAAAAAAGCATAGTTCTATAGCAAAGAACCTTAGACTCATTACCATACATTTCCTCCTTATACTGCATTCCAAAAATTTCCTTTGAACCTGAAAATTTCTATTTTGCAATTATTTCACCAAAAGACCTTCTTTCCTCTGTCAAAGTAGAACAAATGACTTTGGCCCGGATCTAATTCCTGTAAAGTTAATCAAACTATGTCTTCCTGTCATCTTTCCTATCCTACTGCATATCTACAATTTTTCCTTACAAAATTTGTTTCCCATCAGCCTGGAAAAAAGTTATTGTCCACCCGTTGAACAAAGTTCTACTTCCTTCCAAAGTTTCCAATTTCATTCACATTATTAAAGAGTACAAATATGTGAATTCGCACATCAAAATTTATCTATAATTTCATATATTTATGAGTGCCTTTTCTTTATTTCAATTTTTAATTTTAGATCTAGATAACCTTGTAATTTAATTTATTTCTAATTATTTCTAATGCCAGACAATTGTTATTAAATTGTTCATTGTAGTTATTTTAAGGGGACTTAGTCCCAGAATAAAATTTATTTTTCATAATTGGTAATTGGTTGACTGTCGTGGATAATGAAGAGGAGAATAGTTGGGGTGCTCAGTCAAAAAGGAAGGCAAAAAATAATTTATAATATTTATTTCTTACTTTATTTCTTATTTTCTTCGTAAGAAATAAATATTATAATTTATTTTTTGCCTTCCTTTTTGACTGAGCACCCCAACTATTCTCCTCTTCAAAATTTATTTTTGTTCTTCAATGAGAAGCTGTGACCAAAATTCAAAACTAACAGAAATTACTGGGTTCTTTAAATGAAAAAGTTGATTTTTAAACATACAAATTCAATATTTCCAAGTATGTATGCAGTTAGTAAAGTTTTATGTATTTATTGAGTTCTAATATTTTATTGTAAGTACTTTCCTGAAGAATCTCTGTAATCCTAACAACTCCTCTGCACCAATTAGTTCGGATCTCTGAGATTATACTGTAATCCCAATTCTGAATATAAAATGGCATTTTAGAATCATTTCTTACATTTGTATTAATTATTAAAGTATTCAGTCCTTTATCTTAAGATATTATTTCGTGAAAATAAATTAGATGAGAAATTTTAATTATATTTAACTATAGGTTATGTAATTGATTCAAATCATCATCCAGTTCCACATGCCACTATAGTCATTGAAAGAAAAAATGTTTCATATGGAGTGAAAGAAAATGGTGCTTTTTGGATTCCCCTTCCCATAGGTAATGAATTAACTTTTTATTTATTTTTTCTAATTTATATACTTAAGTTTGAAGTACATATTTTCACTCAAATTTTACTTGTAAATACTATTGTCTTTATTGTTTTAGGGGAATACACTGCCGCGGTATCTGCAAAAGGCTATTCTTCTTCTACAAAACTTGTTAAAATAAATAACAATAAACCTGAACAAATTATTTTTGATCTTGTTAAATTAGAAAGTGTAATAGGATTACCTCGCTTTATTTTTATTTTGTTGACAGGTAAATTAATGTTCTGATTCATTTCACCCTTAAAATATTTAATTAATTATATAATAATTCTATTATTCCTGGTTAGTTACAAAGTCATTATCTTTGTGAATCTAGAGGTGGATTTATTTGTTGACTGTTACTTTAAAATCACAATATAAGAATGATAAATAGTCAGGATGGCTATCTAATCAATTGGACCAGCTATCAATTTCATCTATTTGAATCTGTCAATACGCGACCATCACTCTCTCCCTCACCAACTGGCACTACCATCAACAGCTTGCTCCATTCAGCTCTGTCCATAGCATATTTTCTCCAGCATTGTACACCTAAAGCCTTCAAGTCTGTCTCGACATCATCCAGCCATCGCAGTCGAGGTTTCCCCCACTTTCGTCTACCACATGGCTTCCAATTCCTTCTCTAGGCCTCTGCTTGCGCCTGCTTAGAGTAGGCTTCTAATATTCCAAGTTCTTAGATGTAAATTGTTGTCCCTATTGTACCTTATTCCTCGTCTATTCAGAGCCATTCTATCAATTACTACTTCAGGCATTGGTTAGGGCCTCCTCCCCTCACATCCGAATGGGTCCCTACTGGTATATTACTATTTAATATACCTTTGCCGACATGATAGTAGCTTTTAGTAGATTTCGTGGCTAAATATTAGACAAGGGTGGGATGCCATCCCCGCCCTCAACCCTCCTCTTTTTTCAACTGGGCTCGGGATCGGCTTAGGCAGAGTTCAATACTCAACCATACAATTTTGAAATCAATAGTACTTTTAAAAACTGCATCTTCAATAACATGTTAATTGGCCATTATATTGCAACAAATCAGAAAATTTTGAATATTTCAATATATGAATTATTATTAAGTATTAAAAAAACCTGACTGTGCAATCTTAAAAGGAATAGCATTTTTAAAAACCACATCTTCGATAACATAATATTATATACCATTATATCGAAATATTATAAAAATTTACAATAAATCGAGATGTAACCACATAATCTTAAAATCAATAGTGCCTATTCATCCCTCTTTTCCCAGTCTGCTGGTGTTCCTCAAGGTAGTATCCTAGGTCTTATCCTTTATACAGTTTATACATCTGACAACCCAACCTATACGAATACTGTCATCACCACGTATGCTGATGATACATTTATCCCATCAGTTAACAACGACCCATCAATTTTATCCCAAACTCTTCAATCACACATCATGAATCACACATAGTATTTTCTTAAACTGCACCTCTGATAACATAATAATTGATTTTGACTGCAAATCCTGATTGTTTTTCATTCTCATAATGTCTGTGAATCCTTCATTAAACCTTTTACATTATGATGTTAATAACATGAATTCCAATGATTTATTTTTCTAAATGATGTAATTTTTACAAATTATCTTATAATAAAGTAGTAATTATTTTATTATTTTGGAACTAATGAAGACACAAAACAGAATATTAGTGAAACTGAAAGTGTTGGAATGAAAAACATTAACAGATTTTATATAAGAATGATTGTAAAAGATTGTGTATTATTAGTCAACTACAGCTTCGATAACATAATAATTGATCCAAGTATTGAAACAATTTGATTTGGGAGAAATTGAGTTTGACTTGCTATATAATTAATCTAGATCTAGTGCTCAAAGCGGCATCTAGATTTTTTTTATCACGTAAAAAGACTGTTTCATTTTATTTAATGATCAGGTTCTTTGACAATGACAGTCAGTATATAAATTATTTTATTTTACCCTTTAAAATGAGAGAAGCTTCAGTGTACCTGCACCATATTCATCTCTTTTATCTTAACTTTTTGTATTTAAAAAACATGTATGATTAGAAAAGGGTTCTTATCATTCTAGTTCTTAGACAACTGAAATTCCTCCTTGTCAGACACCATCTTACTGTTCTAATCATTCATATTTTTAAATAGAAGAAATTGAGCTAAAAGTGATAAATATGAATGAATGAAAAAATAATTTTATTCTGGGACTACAGTCTTCTAAGAATAATAACAGAGTTCCATAATTATGAGCATTAGTCTGGCTTGGAGTATACAGAATGATGCATAATTATAACTGTTAATATCATTTGCAATTACACAGTAGATTGAATTATACAGTGTACAGAAGCAAGTGGATTTTACATGTTTGTGGAAGTTTGAATGTGAAATAGGTGTCGGAATAAGGGTTGTTTGAAGGAATTTGTGGATGAGGATTAACGTACGGAGGTAGCTAGATAGTTCCAAAAGGAGGTAACACGAATGATGAAGGCTTTGCTGAAGGAAGTAGTTTTATGGGAGGCAATATATAAATCTATAGGTTGAGATCTGGTATTGAGAGAGTGGATAGAGGAGTGTTAGGTAAGGAGTTCTAAGATGTAGGGAGAGTTTTTGGTTCTGAGGACTTATAAAAGAAAAACATCAAGAAGGAATTGCTGTCGGGAAATAGGATAAAGCGACTTCAACTTGTTGTACCAGCAGGAAACATGAGAAAGTCTGGGAATCCCAAAGATGTATCTTATGAAGCAATTTATGAGTCTCATCTCCACCCTGGCAGACAACCCTCCATACACCAAACAACCATAGTCGAAGTGGGGGGGAAACGAGGGAGGTTACAAGGAGCTGTCTTGTTTTTAGAGGAATACAATCACGGAATTTTAGGAATTATTTAACAGTAGTTATGGATTTTTAGGTAATCTTGGAGATATAGTTATTCCAGGAAAGGTTCTGGTCAAAGGTTACTCCTTTGGTTTTTTAACTGTAGGAAAAAATGGATGGGGCAGTTATTGAGGTAGAGGAGAGTAAGCTAGGGAACTAATGAGATGTTTGGACCCAATGAGATTAGTCTTAGATTTGTCTGCGTTCAACTTTAACCTATGGTGCCAATAATAATATGGTGACGGTACCCTGAAAGTTTCTAATTTTAAAGTGTAAAATAAAATAATTTAATTTGAACTGAGTGTTATTGTAAAAGAACTTGGTCATCCTTTTTTAAAATTTATATTTAATTTATCTGTCTTGTTTTTTTATTGGATGCTTATATTTAATGCTTAATTGGAAAATTGTATTTAGTATTAAAAATAATAAATTAAAATAATGCTATTAATTATTATTTCAAAAGTTTTAAGGAAAAATAAAATTGTTCTTTTCAGGTGGTGCATTCTGTTCAGTCCTTATATATAGTTGTGTCATTTAAACTTATTTAAATTTTAGTAGCTTTTCTATAGTGGTTCTTATCTATATATATTTTTTTCTTTTCATTCCAGTTCTCATAATTATATTGCTAAGTGGCGTATTACTATTTTGTTATATGCTCTGCAAACCAGAAAAAGGGCGTTCTGGTTTTTCATTGGTGCCTCAAAAACCATCACTATTTGAAGATGATGAATCAGATTTATTTAAAACTCCAATTAGAGGTAAATATAAGTCCTGTGGTGTACATAAGTTTGTGTTTATACATACTTAAGAATTATATTCTATTTTGTTTGTTTCCTTAATAGTGAATTTATAATTTAATGATTTGTATACACCTTTTAATTTTAAATATCTTTCTTTAATTGTAATAATGAAACTTGAATGAATTGCTTAACAAATTGATTAAATTTTGAGGTGAATGCTTAGTAGGCTTGTCTATTTGTACTTATAACTGTATATGTGACTTAGTCTTGTAAGCTATATGAATAGTGCAGAAGTCAGTTGGTATATCTGTAAATATGCTTAGATTATTAGTCTTCATTAAAAATTTTTAAATTTCTTTTTTTATTAATTAATTTATTTTTTTATTAATTACTACCGACTTCACAGAGCTATTTGAGCTGTTGAAAACTTTTTGCCTGTGAGTGGATCATAGGTGGTTTTATTAATAACTTAAAATACTAGTTTTGATTGTCAGTATAGTTCGGGGAAACATTTTACCACCTACCCTAAATACTGAAAGTCAATTTTAGTTTCCAGTGTTCAGCCTTCAATATTTAAGATGTTATATTGTCCATTAAAGAATGTTTTATCCTTCCTTCCAGTCCACAAATTAAATGTTCATGAAGAATGTTCCTCATCATATATTTTTCCATCCTTTGTTTCTAAAGTGTTGAATACTTTTCATAAATGACTGGAGATAATGGTTATGCCTTTGATGAGAGAAGGAAGGGCAAGTATGGTTGTTTGCTCTGATGGTGACTTTGAGAAAGCAGGTAGTAAACTGGGACCGGATACTTTTCTCATGCCTAAACACACCCTTTATTTTACTTACTTTATATATATATGTATATATTTATAAGACCAAAAAAAAGGATTAATAAAAAGATAATAAAATAATTTTTAATAAATATATAGTTCTGCGCATGCGCTAGTATCTAACAACCCACCTGCTACATCGTCTCTCACAAGTATCTTAATTATCAGTGAATTTGTGAACTGTTATGTTAAAAAATCAGTGTAATTAACAATTATATAGTTAATTCTTGAACAGAACCATAAACACGGTGAGTAACCGCTTGTTTATTAAGTTTGAACAATAGTGTAAACAACCATAGAATTAGATAGAGTGGCCATTCTTATCTGCAGTCCCCCCACTTAGAGCCTGGCAGTCTAACACCTATCCAAAACATTCACTCCCCACCCCGAACTCCATTCCACCCTCACTGCTGAAATTAAAGAATTCCTCTCTTCTCCGATTCCTCTCTCCTTGCCTCCTAAAGCTGTCAACCCCTCTGAGCTCAAATTCCATATAAACAACTTGAAACCTCGAAAATCCCCTGGACACGATCTCCTTACTTCCCAGATCCTTAGACAACTTCCTAAAAAAGCAATCATGTTCCTCACATACCTGTATAACTGTACCCTCCGCACAACTCACTTTCCTCTCATATGGAAACACTCCATTATTATCCTCTTCCCTAAACCAGGTAAACCTGTTAATAATACCTCATCTTATAGACCAATAAGCTTACTTTCGATCCTCTCGAAAATCTTTGAAAAAATCCTTCTCAAACGTATCCTACCCATTCTCGAAACCCACAATATCCCCTCCCATCAGTTTGGTTTCCGCTCAAGACATTCCACTGTTCAACAAGGCCTCCGAGTTGTTAACCATATATCCTCTGCGCTTGAAAACAAGCAATATTGCACTAGTACTTTTCTGGATGTAGCGCAAGCTTTCGACCGGGTGTGGTATGATGGCTTGCTTTTCAAGCTCAAAACTCACTTACCCCAATGCTTGTATCTAGTCCTCAAATCCTACCTCTCAAATCGTTTCTTTCAAGTCTGCTGCGGCACTGAATTCTCCAACTATTATCCAGTTGAGGCTGGTGTTCCACAAGGCAGTGTCTTGGGCCCAGTTCTCTACATCCTTTTCACAGCTGACATTCCAACCCATCCTAATACCCTTCTAGCAACATTTGCTGACGATACCGCCATCCTCTCTTCCCACCCAGACCCTGAAACAGCATCCCTAAACCTTCAAAGACACATCTCCCTAATAGAACAATGGTGCAACAATTGGCACATCAAGATCAATGAATCCAAATGCAAGCATGTCATCTTTACCCTCCGACACAGATCCTGTCCACATATCCTTTTCAACTCAGTACCTCTTCCCATCTCAGACACAGTTCGTTATCTTGGATTCCTTTTAGACAAAAGACTAACATGGAACCCACATACCAGACTTAAAAGACAAGAGCTTAACCGACGACTTGGCCAGTTATACAGACTACTTAACAGAAAATCTAACCTCTCAATTGAAAACAAACTATTAATATACAAGACCATACTGAAACCCATCTGGACCTACGGACTTGAACTGTGGGGGACAACTAAATTATCGAACATCAAACGCATCCAATCCTTCCAGTCTAAAATCCTCCGTATAATAGTCAATGCTCCTTATTATGTTACGAACAAAACCTTACATCATGACCTTAACATCCCTTATGTCCTTGACGTTATTCCATCCCGATTTTCAAATTTTCATCAGAACCTAACCTATCATCCTAATCCCTTAGCACAATCCTTATCCAGTTCCAGTCATCCCTACAATCCTCCTCGAAGGTTGAAGCGGCAGTGGCCTCGAGATCTTTTGTAAAGACGTCATTGGAGTCCTGGCAATGGCCAGCTTCTCCACTCAAATCATGAGCGTATGTGGCGTTAGTGCCCTCTCTCAGTCTCCACTGGATTCCCATCCTAATGATGTGGCTGAGAGAGAAGCGCTGGGATCTCTTGGAGTCTTGCCTTGTCCTCCACACGTGGGGGAAAAGGCCCGACTCGGAGCTCCCTCGGCTGACTGTAAATATTGTCAATAAGTTTGAATGTGTTTTTATTTATTATTATTTTTTTTTTATTTCAATTTTTATTTTATTTTATTTTTTATCTAATGTTGTATCATGTTTGATTTATTCTGTTACTCCAAGTTTTATTTTATTTTATTTTCTTATAATCTTGTTGTTCTTTTATTGTATATATGGTATGATTGTACTTCATACTCAATGCCCTTAATTGAGGCAAAATGTATTTTTTTTTCTCAATAAAAATTGTTCATCACTGAAAAAATAAATATAATTTTTTATCGGAATCTGTACGTGTTTGGTGCCTGGCTTTACTAGCCTTTCATCTTTAAAGAGATAATTATAGAGAATATAAGTTACTTACCCATTATTTGGCCATGATTAATCATTTATCCTACCATGCTAGCTCAGGTGAGAAGGGGTTAGGTTGGATATTTTTATAAAGCAGCAAAAAAAAAAGGTTAAGTGATCTATTTACAGAAAGAAATATTTACAGAATTAATACTATGTACAAGCAAAATAAATAAAATAAAAGGAAAAAGAGAGAATTTAATTTTGTCTATGCAACATAATTATTATATACAATTAAAGATAAATAGGAAGATACTTGGGATAATAAAAATAACAAAAAAGATACTTATTCTATATACAGTGGTATGGCATGCTACATACAAACATCAAGAAACGATAGTCAAGATATAAGAGCACATGCACATGCTAAAAAAAATTTTAGTCACAGAAAACAAAAGAGAGAAGAGTTCTATTTTTTTTTTCAATGCTTCCTTAATCTTGGTTACACCTCCTCTTCTTCGGGAGCGTGAGACCCCTCATGCTGCAAGTCAGGATTAAGTTTAATATCAGATATCCAAAGTCTTTGGAGAACGAACCCCCCGAATGTTCTTCAAATGTTGCTGTGGCGATGACTATGTCAAGATACGTGAAGCAAGCAGGAATGAGATCAGGAGTAATGCTTTTTTTCAGGATCCGATGAAATGTCGCTGGAGCTCCACAAAGTCCCAAGAGAAGTCTTTTAAAATGAAATCGGACTCTTCCTAAAATGACAAAGGCAGTTATTTCTTTTAAAGAGCTGACCAAGGGAATTTTGTGATAGGTGTGTGCCAAATCAATCTTGGATAGATTGCTGCAAGCCTTAAGTCTATCTAGTAGTGAGGACATATTAGGTAGAGGATAAATATCTGACTTAGTTATTGCATTAATCTTGCGGTTGTCTATGCCAAAACGATATTTACCAATTGGCTTTTTCCCCATTACCATAGGGCTTGACCAAAAATCATGAAACGGCTCTATAATGTCTTTCTGAAATACCCTATCAACTTCCTGTTTGATAGCTTCTTGAACTACAGGTGAGATGAGATATGGTCTTTGTTTCATAGGTTAGATCTTCCTCACTTCGATATGTTGTTCGGCGAAATTGGTAAGTCCAACGGAATTGTCGGTGTTTGTCAATTCTTTGTCCAATACTTCATCCAATCTTCTGACCTCTTTTGGCTCTAGTCTGCTAATTCCTGCTATTTAATCATGACAAATCCAAAGTTCCTTAGAAAAGCTAGCTCGACTTGAAGGCATATTTCTAAACCACCAGGACCCTTCAGGAGCATCAATTACTATTCCTAGTGCTCTCATGGCGTCCATCCCCAAAAGACAAGGAACTGTTAGGTTAGGAAGGACATAAAAAGGTATTTGAACTTGACGGCCGTTCAAGCTGGCTAAGAAGGCAACAGCTTTGTTAACCGTTTCACGCGCTCCATTAGCCACCATGACAAGATAAGAGGTAACAGATGTAAGCGTGATGTGTTCTTGAGGTAAAGATGTTAAGGGTAAAGGTAAAGTCTTAAGGGACTGATGTACAAATGATTGGCTCCTGTGTCAATAAGTGCTGGAAGATTGATTTTACCTACACTTAGTGTAACGAATAACCTCTCTTCAGCTAAAGATAAAGATAAGGTAGAAAGGTTGTTGAGCTGATGAGATTTGGGATTCCTTTATCAATACTTATTTTTAAGAATTTATTTTCTTCATCTTTTATTTTTTGTTTTGGTCCATTTTGTCACAGTGCTTTTTTGACCTTGCCTTTTATTGAGCTTATCTATTAATTTGCAGATTTCTCTTAACATCTACCGATTGCCTGTTTTCTGATTGTTTTAACTTCTATTAGTATTTGTTTTTATTTGGTAGGAATATGTTTGAAAACTTTTATTTATTTTTTAAATATTTTTTTCATATTCCATATCTTTCCAATATTTATAATGTCTTTTGTCATCCATGTTTCTACCAACATCTTCTGAAGGTTGATTCCTTTATCAATACTTATTTTTAAGAATTTATTTTCTTCATCTTTTATTTTTTGTTTTGTGTAGGATTGATTGATAAAAAAAAACTATCATGGCCACAAACTTGTTTCGTTTTCTCTAATTAATTATTACATTTTTTTTTTTGTTTTTTATATGTTTCTCCTTTGTATTTGTTCCAGGAAATACATTTAAAACAGTACCGTATTACGACAATAGTGACATTGAAGAGGAAAGTAGCTTGTCAGATGAAGATATTGTTGATGTTTTAGAGATCCAACAAAGTTTGAAGAAACAATATTCATGATTTATAATTGAATTTTCTAAGAATAAAAAAAATGTATATATATTCACACTCATATACAATGTTTACCAATATATATTTTTTTAAATTCACTAAGCTCTTTGAATTTTATGATCTTTAACTATCCTAGAGTTATGTTAAACTCAAGAAAAAATCATTATAAATCTACTTATGAGTCTTCGAATATGCTCCTTTTACCTTATTTTCCATGATAAGGTTTTGGAGCACCTTCATTGCCTTTCTTTACCTTATCTTATCATATTTTTTTTAAATTGTATATGACAGCCTCTTGAATCAGAACATGTTAGTCTGCTGGTGTATATTTGTTTCCTACCATTTTTTTTTTTTATATATATACAAACAAAACTTATTTGAAAACCAAAATAGTAACTCTTTTTAAATTTAAATTTCATTGCTCTCTGTTTCATGATGAAAAATTTTTTTTTGCTAAAAATGTGTGTTAAAGAAGAAATACTTTAACCTGTTTCATTGTTGCCTTCTTTGTCAAGGGATAAGTCACCTGCTCCCGAGAGGGGCATATTTATATTCAAAAATATAAATATGAATACTTTTATATTTATGGCACTTTTGAATATAAATATGAATATATTTATATTCATAAAAAGAAACATAAATACAGATGGTACGTATTCACGGCTGTAAATATAAATACGGCCATATTCACCACTTTAAAAGTGAATAGGGCTGTATTCACGTTTATTAAAATGAATACGCTTAAATTTACAGAAGTGAATGGAAATATTTTCACACAATCTTATTGAATTTTCTTCTTTATTAAATAAATATTACTTTATTTTTTACATCAGGTATTTTCCAAAATAATACAAAAAAAGTATGCAAAACTTAAAATAAAGTTCTGGACAGTAGATGTTTATTAAATAAATCTCATAAAATATATTGGGATAATGTTAAAAGGTTGGTATTTGCTAACTTCAAATGATGTATGCATAAAATGTTTAATTTTATTAAGCATTAAATTATAATTATGAATATGTTAAGATTATTTGAATTGATCTAATCAGAACAGATTTGAATATATGTGTACATGTATATGTATGTATGTATATAGATAGATAGAAAGTAAACTTTATTCTGGTACGAGGTCCCTTATGAATAACAGATATGAACAAAAAAAAAAAACAAAAAAAACAACTACATCTGGCCAAAAATTACATTAGTCAATATTAATGAATATATACATTATCTTCAGTGAAATTGTACACTGACAGGCAAAAAATTCCACCCACTTGATATTTTCATGTTTTCATCTAAAAATATTTCTGCTTTGGAATGGTCTATTGTTTTTAATGAATAAATAGGTGATCTTCTTGTTTGTTTTCAATTAGGAATGTTAATATAGAGGACAATAACCCTTAATCCTTAATTCAATGAAATGATTCTAGATTCCAATGTTTACTTTCTATGGAATCAAAATGTTTATTCAGTATCATTAGCTCAGTGCCGTTTCTTGTAGCACATTTCTTAGTCTCCGGCTTTTAATTTTTTCAATATTAAGTTTAAAAATGCCTCTTAGTGCTGAGGATGTTGCGCGTGGTATGGCACTTATTGATGATGGACGTCCATTAGATATGCAGCTAATGCCATCGGAGTTCCATATGAAACTTTACGAGACGCCGTCAGGCGTTTTCGGGAAACTGGTTCTTACAATAGAAGGCCCAGTTCTGGACGGCCCAGGGTAACAGAACCACGGGATGACCGGTTTTTGACTTTGAGAATTATACGAAACCGCCACCTTACCGTTGTTCAAGCGATTCATCAGCTCGAAGAAGTTCGAGGTGTGCAAATTTCTGAACGTACCGCTCGGAGAAGATTAAATGAGTATGGATTCATGGCTTTTCGTCCAGTAAGAGGACCAGAATTGACCAGAACTCACAGAGTAACACGGCTGGCTTTTGCTCGAGAACACAGCTATTAAACTATGGACGAATGGAGTGATGTACTTTTCACAGAAGAAGAAACGAAAGATATGCAGCCTGTAATTTTTCCCAGAGCCAACCTTTCCAACGTGGTTTTCTTAAAGGTGTGGGCTGGATATTTCAATGGAGTGCCGCACAGAATTGGTTGTTGTTCGTGGAGGGTCTTTGACAGTCATTCGCTATGTAGATGAGATTTTGGAACCTCATGTGTTGCCTATCCTCAACGAAATCGGCGATCGTTCTATTCTAATGCACCCCCACATGTCGCCCGCATAGTGCAGACGTTCCTTCAACAGAACAATATTGAGGTTTTAGCCTGGCCAGCACGTTCTCCAGATTTGAACCCCATTGAGCATTTATGGGATAACCTCGGAAGACGAATAAGAGCGCGTGCAACACTTCCTGATACACTGCAGGACCTTGAAATGGCTCTTCGGGAGGATTGGGCTATCCTCCAGCAAAGGGATATTTCCCAACTGGTGGAAAGTATGCCGAGGGGTCTTCAAGAAGTAGTGAAGGCAAGAGGAGGTGGAAACACGCGCTTCTAAACGATGATGTAATTAATTTCTTTTAGAATAATAATGGTTCGTTTTTCAATTTTTTTTTCTCTAATCTTTCTTACCCAATCACATTTTGATTATTAAAGGTAAAAAAGATTATACAATTCCATAAATACTAAGTATTATATACAAATACTACTTTTTTTACAAGTGGGTGGAATTTTTTGCCTGTCAGTGTACAAATACAACTTTTTTTACAAGTGGGTGGAATTTTTGCTTGTCAGTGTATTAAAACAAGTAAAAATAACACCATTATGAGAAAAAAACATTATTTAAATGAAAAGAAAACAAAATAAAATAAGCATGGGTTGATTTTTAAAATTAACACTCAATCAATTTTAACAACCATTCACCTCATTCAAAATCTGTTTCGCAATATTTATTTTATTGTATAACGTCATTTTGGGATGTGAGAAGGAATTGGTAAAGATGATATTTTAATGAGGACAAGGAAGAGGCATGGCGGATATCAGATGGCAAGGAATTCCAGAAGGCTGTGGATCGGGCAATAAAGGAATATTCAAACGTCTTAGTTCTATGGGAAGGGATATAAAGGTCGGAAACACGGGATCTTGTTTTCTGGGAGTGGACCACGGGTTTAAACTGAAGGAGACTGTAGATGTAGAAAGGGTGTCTGGTGTTGATTGTTTGGAATAAGAAAGATCCAAGGAAATATTGTCTGCGGAAAGAAGAGAAGAGCCACTTTAACTTGTCTTAAAGGTGGGACACATTAGACCCCTGAGCTACACTGAGTTGAGGTGGCTCTACCCATCCTATAGCCGTCAGTACTTCCTAGCCACCTTTCTGTACCAAATCATTAGAACTCATCGACCCTCCTATATTTTTCACAGCTTACAATTCAAATACTCCATCCAATCCCGTCCCACTAGATCTCGTTCTTCCGACCTCTGTCCTCCTCACTGAACTGCTGCGATTGACAAATCCTTTGCAATGCAAGCCGCCTCCCTCTGGAATTCCATCTCTGCTGATATTCGACATGCTGAATCAGTTTCCTCTTTCAAACCTCTCCTCTTTAAATTAAACACCTACTCCTTTCTCAATCCGACTGATTGTGAAATATACCTAAGAGAAATATCTAAGCACCCCCAGAGACCATCTCAATTTATTTAGGTTATTTTAGTTTCTCATATATATGTACAATTTTCTTGTTCTTTTCTTTCTCTTCAGTATTTTTATTTTTAGTCAACTATTATTGTAAATATATAATCTAATTGTAACCACACAGACATACAATCTGGATTTATAATTTGTTCTAAAAGGACAACAGTCCCAGAATAATAAAATATTTTTTCATTCATTCATATAATATATTTGGAACTTACTCTGGTAAGTGTTACATTTTTAAATGCTTAAACAAAATAGAAATTTCTTGTAAAAATTATTAATCACTTGATGCTTATGTCGCTTATCAATTTCACAGGACATTTTAAACATAAAACGCGAAACTAATCAAATTTATGTATTTCTTGTGAAATCACTTTTATATCATTAGTTAATGGTTTGAAAAGAATTCCTATTCAACTTGACTCGTACAGAGAACCTTAATTTTGTTAAAGAGGCACTGTCTTGAAAATATTCACTAATGTCAAAATCCAGATCCAGACTACAAGAGCCTGAGCTAAAGAAACGGACTCAGTTTCGCTATCAATGTCATACATTGTTCTAAATGCAAAACTTAACACATTATGCAGATTAACACGTATAGTCACACCTTTATTACTCACTTTTACTTTATTACTTTACTGAACGGCAGGTCCGGAAAGGTTACTATCCAAATTTGACTGCCTTTGCCCCTTCCTTTCCCTTTGCTTCATCCAAAGGCTGCCGTGTACCCGTATTCCCCCTTGGAATTTCCAGGGTATCGTTCCGACTGTTGTGCATGCCTACCCTGACCTTCATTAAATTTATCTTTATTGCCATCAGCAACCCATAAGTAAGCAGTGCACCTAAAGGACTAAAGACACAGATTTTTCATTCTGGTAGGCGGGCGGAAGGGGCGATAGATACTCCCCCCCCCCAAAAAAAAAAGGTTTCGGGAATTCATATTACGTACAAAAATTACAAGTGATAATTAACTTAACAAAATAAATTGTAACATAATTAAAATAACGTATTGTAAAACGAAGAATATAATACTATATATAAACATAAAATGATATATATGGTAAATATATTTTTTTTTTGTGTGTGTGTATGGTTGTATTTGAAAACATGTCAACAAACCAAATGAATATGTTTCATAGTTTTATTTGTATTTAAACGTTTGAGTCAGTGAGAAGAACTCATCAAATTACATTTGCTACCGGAAATGTAATAAAATCTTCATGTAAAAATTAAAGAATATCGTTAATTTATCATAAAATCTTGGGATATATTGCTGCATATAATAATTATTGAATATTAACTAAAATTTCTGTAATAGGAACATAGAGCGTGGTAAAATACATATGTGTATATCTAAGCATCTGCTTAGTCATCTAGTCAACTTTTCCAATTTCCTTAATTGACTTTAGTTTACATAATTAGCCCCCTTCTAAGATCTTAACATATACATAATTATAATATTATGTTTAATAAAATTAAACGTTTATGCATACATTATTTCGAGTTAGCAAATACCAACTTTTTAGCATTATTCCAACATTTTTTAAGAGATTTATTTAATAAACTCCTTACTGTCCAGAACTTTAATTTAAGTTTTGCATACTTTTTTGTTTTATTTTGGAAAATATCTAAAGTAACAAATAAATTAATATTTATTTAATAAATAAGAGTATTTATTCAGAAGGTTGTGTGAATATATTTACATTTTCTTCTGTAAATTTAAGCGTATTCATTTTAAGAAACGTGAATACAGCCGGATTCACTTGTACAACTGTAAATACAGCTGTATTCACTTTTAAAGTAGTGAATACGGCCGCATTTATATTTACAGCTGTGGATACGTATCATCTGTATTCATGTATCTTTTTATGAATTTAAATATATTCATATTTAATTCAAAAGTGCCATAAATATAAATAGTATTCGTATTTATATTTTTGAATATAAATATGCCCATCTTGCTGCCTGTTCTACCTTTCTCTTCTTGGAGGTTGTCTATTTTGTTTCCCACTATAATTTACTCAAGAAACGTCAAAAGAAAATAATCTTGAAAGAAAGAAAGAAGAAAGAATTTTATTCTGAGAATAAAGCTCTCTAAGAATAATAACATTGTTCAGATATTATGCGGATTAGTCTGGTAAGATATTTACAAAACATTACAAGTCAATTACCTTTTTGGAAGTAACTGTCATTACAATAATAAATAGTGTTTGCATCAATGCAGCATTTTGAATATGAAGTAGGTAAAGGAATAAAAGTTGTTCAAAGGAATTTGTGAACAATAATTGGTACTTATGTCCTACGCGGTCGGGACCGAAACTCCCTTATTATCTTATCTTACATCACGTAACCTCCCTTCTTATCTCGTGTAAGCTCTTGTTATCCTTCTGTCACGTGTGCGTTATTCCATGAGGAACGCTGCGAATTCGTACAGTCGAGCAGACTTTGTTATAATTGTCTCAATTCCGGCCAACGAATGCTTTTCAGTTCGGGATGCTTTTCCCGCATTTACATGCACATTTTGTGGCGAAAAACACCGTATCGTGCTTCATAAGAAAAGTTGCTCTGGTTTAAATACTGAGGAAACTCCCGTGGAAGTAGGCGATTTTGTTAGTCACGCTCGCAGCGCTTCTGTTTCGTCTGGCTTTTCTTCTGAGGCACTAATGAGCACGGCACACGCGGTGTTGTCCGGTTCGAAACGTTATGCCTCGGTGAGTCTGTTGCTGGACACTGGCAGCCAGAACACTTTTGTCACCGCTGAGCTGGCGGCTCGAATTGGAAGCCCGATGCATCCTTTCGATGGCACGATTTTGGGTTTGGGTAAAAGTCCTGTCGGGAACATTATTCAAGCCTTTCACTCCAACTGTAGGGGTCGGTTGAGTTGATACGCTGAGGTGTGAACTACCTCTCCCCTAAATACTTCGGAAAATTACTAATCAACAAACATTGTTCTGACCTTTTTGAGAAGAATCAAATTAATTCTCTCAGCAGCTACACACTGTTTCTATATTTCTTTTTTTAAATTATCTCTATCTTAGTTATTATTTGTATGTACATGTTTTGTGAATGATTAATGTAGCCTTAATATTAATGGTCTTCAATGTGGCTTAATATATTAATATTAAATATATATATATATATATATATATATATATATATATATATATATATATATATAATATATATATATATATATATATATATCTGAATGCTATTTCATGATATTTATTTTCCTTATCGATGATTTCCATTATTCATTATTTCGGCATTATCAGATATTCTTCGTCAGTTGTTTCCCCAATACGTTAATTCCTTCCTTGAAAATAAACATCCGAATAAACACGATATTTTTTTAAGAACGACTACAATAAGTACCCATTTTCGGATAATTAAGAAATTACTACGAACAACAATAATTACGCTGCTAATTCATTCAATAAAAATAATAACGACTTAAATGAGAATATAAATTATTAGTTTACAGTATAATCAAACTAAGTGGCAATTCTACGCGCCTATTGCGGTTGAGGATTATTTGAATAAATATTTATCTAGATAACGATTAAAAATACATTTTATCCGTTATTCGATGACTTTAATTTCTAGGTTATTCATTACTTACAGATATTCTGAATCATCTATTATCTATTAATTGTTAATTGCCATAAAAATTTCATTTGAATAAGTTTTTGGATTTGTTCGATATGAGGGCTCACTATTATGTTGTCGGGGCGCTTTTTATGAAAATACTGTTGGATCTAAAATTACACATCGAGTTTTTTATTTTACTTTTTGGATGTCTTCGAAATAAGGGTCCACTCTTATTTTGGCGGGGACGCTTTTTATGAAAATAGTATCGAATTTGAGAATATGTTAAGGCGGATCGAATTTTAGTAACTTTTTGAGTATCTTCGATATAAGGATCCACTATTATGTTGACATGTGCGCATTTTATGTAAATACTGTCGGATTTAAGATTGCGCAATTGCGCATCGAGTTTTTACTTTTTTTATTTTATCGATATGAGGGTTCACTATTTTATTTTTTCGCAATCTTTAATCTGACGATATTTTCATAAAAAGCCTCCTTGACAACTTAAAAGTGATCTCTTATTTCTAAGAAATCCAAAAGCTAGGAAAATTCGAAGCACAATTTCAAATACGACAGTATATTCGTAAAAAGCGCCTCGACTAGAAAATATTGGACCCTTCAATTCTAAAAAAGGTTTGCTAAAATAAATTATAAATTTTATCATTCCAACTTTGATTGAAAAACTCGAATAACGAATAAAAATATTATTAAGATTATATAATTTCAGATTATTTATTATCTAAATAAATTTTTTTTAAATATATAAAATAAAATATACAATTGTATATGCGTATTTACAGCAACTACATCTATGCATTTATAAATACAATTTTATTCCTAAAAGAATTTTTTTATTTGTAACACCTTAAAGGATGACTCAAACATTATTTTCTTTATTTTATTTCCAGAATAATTACTGTTTTAATAAAAATTAATAATTATCAAATTAGTAAATATATAATTCGTTAATAAGGAAATTCTATGATGAGAATATGCGGTATTTTCCCTCAAAAATACATTAAAAGGGATTGTGTGGTCCGACGTCAAAAAATACGGCAACATTTGGCTGTTTTCGGGATTTCATGAACAAGTGTGACCGAAGTGAACCACGCGTAATCCGTGGCTCATGAGAACTAGTACCCAAATGAATAAAACCTAACCATTTATTTTTCTTTTAAATATCTTTGGCAACTAATCTATTGGGTTGTCCGGAAAATAATGCAGGATTTTGTTGTAAAAAGAAAAGATTTACAACAGTTGTTATTTAATCAAAGTTGTTTCCGCTACTATCAATACATTTCTGCCAATGTGTTGGCAAATTTTCCATTTTCGGAATAGAATTTCCCATCTTTAGAATTGATAAACTACAAAAACACATTTTCTAATTCCCTTTGTCCATTAAATGTTTTGTCATTTAAGTAGTGGTACAGGTGTCTAAAAAAATGATAATCTGTAGGCGAGAGGTCCAGAGAGTAGGGCGGTGTTTCTTAACCAAGCTCCAACGGTTTTTATGACGTCACATGTAAGGCATGTGGACGGTCGTTATCCAAATGGGCCCCTTCCGATTGACCAAAGATTGCTAATTTCCGATGCATTGCATTTATTTCGTTACAATACGATTCGGCATTGATGGTTTCTCCAGGATTTAAAAGGCTGTAGTATATCAAATCAAATAAAGCCCACCAAACAGAAACCATCACCTTTTTTTGATGAGTTGCGGGCTTTGAAAAATGTTCTGCTGCTTCTACATTGTCGAGCCACTGTCCAGAACGTCTACTGTTATCGTAAAATATCCATTTTCGCCACAAGTAACAATTCTGGACAGAAATGGGTCGTTTTTGTTTCAGCAAAAAAGTGTAGCACAAACTTTATAACGCTAGTTTTTTTGGCGGACGTTTAATGTGTGTGGACCCCAACTTTCAAGCTTTTTTACATTTTCAATCGCCTTGAGTTGGTCATCAACGGTCGATTTGCTAAGGTTAAGTTTCCCTGCAACTTGAACAGTTGTTCTGTGGATTTCTTCCACCAATGCAGAATCAATCAAGAGAGGAAGTCCTTTCACGACCTTCTTTTTCTTCATGGCTGAAGTCTCCCTCCTGAAATTTTTTGAACCACAGTTGAATAGTGCACTCATTAATGCTGCTTTTGCCCCAGACTTGATTGAAGTTTCTGGCCGTCTGGACCCCACGGCTCGTTAAACTCGTTAAACAAAATTATACGAAAATAACGCATTGACATCCTAGCAAAGACTGAATTATTTCTAATACTACAGAGGTAAACAGACATTATCGTTTGGAAGAGGATTAATAAGTGTTGACATTCATAGAAATGAATAATCCAGTAAACGTAAACAGTTTGTTATATAGTAGGGTATTTTAAAGAAAACTCGAAATCCTGCATTAATTTTAGGCCAACCCAATATTTATCATTGATAAAAAGAAAATTATTTGTCCAATACCTTCAAAAAATATTTTTTTTCCCGCCTTTCAACCACTGTGCATTGGTGCGAGATTATATGAGACTTCATATCAAACATTTAGAATTTCGAAATAATCATTCATGCAAAATTTCAGCTTTATATCTTTGAATGCGAGATTTCCTTTTTCACTTCATTTAACTGGTCTAGGAATGTAGGTGTGGATAAGATACAAAACCCAATCATGGGTATTAAAAGGCTTATATTAAGGTTTGGTGGTCATGCTAATCTGCTTGTCAAATATTCAGTTTTCATAGATACTTGAGAGAAACTCTTTTATTTTTACATTAATTTAAATATGTCAAATTTCAAAGAGTGCCTTAAGAATGTTAAAAATTACTCACAAAAGAATCACATCACATTGATAAGACAATTACATATAATCTACAAATTATGTATTTTTGTACATACAAATTAGCCATATAAAATAAAGTGCTGATTTAGATGTATACATTATATTTTTGACAAAGCTGCATTAATTTAATTTTATTTATAAAGTTAGTAAGTAACCCATACCACTTATTTTATTGGAGTAAATTATGAAATATAAGGGATAACTTTAAAAAAATATCTCTAACCTTATTATAATATTATATATATTTGTACATTATTATCACAACTCATAATGAATCGAAGGTTTTCTCACTTATATATTTAGTAATCAATATGAGATTTCCTTATAGATATAAAAACATATTAAAATGGTTGTATTAGTTTCAGAAATCATTTACAATAGGGTTAATAGTATCCCCAAACACAACTCTAGTATAATTCTTGTTCAATACTTGTCGAAGCTTGTTAGCATGTTCTTTGTCCATGGTTTCACATACCACTGTCACCTAAAATAAAAAATAAAAACTGAGACACAAAAATTATATGTATGCTTTTAATATTATTTCTAAAAATAAGAATATTGCTTATTTGAAGTTTTTCGGAGATTAATTTGTTTTACATAGTTTTTTTTTTGTTCAATGACTCATTTAAATTGAAGAGAAGTTGGTTGGGGTATTCAGTAAAAAACAAATATAAATAAATGATATTTATTTTTATATTTGCCGACGTTTAAATTCAAAGTTCAAGCCTTAATAAAGGCTAAGAAAAGACTAGATAATAATATGAGCAACTATTAAGTTATGAAAAATAAATAAATGAATAAATAAAAAATAATATTAATAATATAACGAACATATGAAAAAAAATTAATATCAGTAATAATTTGTTAAACAGAGAAAAGAATTTACTGTATAAAGTATAAATATTATAAATACAATATCAGTATACAAATATACTGTATAAAGAAAATTACTGTTATTAGTTTTTTTCATATGTTCGTTACATTATTATGATTAATATCATTTTTATTTTATTTTTTTATAAGTTAATAGTTTATCATATTATTATCAGGTCTTTTCTTAGACCTGACGAAGGCCTGAACTTTGGGCAGAAACATCGACAAATATAAAAATAAATATTTATTTATTTTTAATTTGTTTTTTTTACTGAACATCCCAACCAACTTCTCTTGAATTATTCACTACAGTCAACCATCAATCCACCATTATGAATTATTTAAAATGTATTTTTTTTATTTTTTTATTTTAATGAAATTTACAACTGTATTACATGGAAAATACAAGTAAATGTGACATTGGTAACATGACATGTACAACATGAAGAGAAACTACCCATTGGTAGAACAAAAATTAAAGTTCTATATTATCAGGGATAATATAGAATGGGGGGTTATCAGGGATTGAGGAGGAAAGAAGGTTTGAAAAGAGAGGGTTCGATGGTTCTGAAGTTTGTTATGGAAGGATAGGTATCTGGATTGGGCCAAATCGGAAACATATGGAACATTAAGATCTTTATGGATGATTTTATTTGTGACAAAGTAAGGAGCATCGAGGAAAATTTAAAATATTTTTAGTTTAAGTACATATTAACTATGCTATAAGACATTATATTTTTCAAACATCTTGGCTAAATTAAAAGCTTCTCAGAGTTTTTGCCGTTTTTAGTACTTTTCCAAAGGCTGTGAGGTGTTTGGCACCCAATATGGGTAGTTGAATTTTATCGGAACCACGGATGAATTACAACCTTCCCACTCTGGTTAGAATAGATTTAATTGTACCTCAACAACTTCTACTCTCCTTTCGTATAAGAGGTAGAGGATAAACAGTAAAAAAAGGTTCCTATGCCTTTGTACCTTGTGCCTTTATGCCTATGCCTATGTACACATTAATTACATGAATACAACTATCAAGCCCACTCTTATAATTGAATTTCATTTGGAAAAAAGGATGGAATGGTTGATGGTATCAAAGACTTTAGAAAAGTCAAGGAGTACAAGGACAGTTAGTTTTTTGTCATCCATAGGGGACTGAACATCACTTATGATTTTGATTAGGGCGGATTGTGTGGAGTAACCTCCTCCTTAACCTGCTCGAAAACCTGATTGGTAAGAATCAACTTGATTGGACTGTTCGAGGAAATTAGAAACTTGGTATTGAACTATTCTTTCCAAGGGTATTTAAAGATTAGAAAGGATTGAGAATGGACTAAAATCTTCGGGGGAAGTGGGATTAGAATTTTTAAGTAAAGGACGGACGATGTCTTTCTTCTAAGGGATAGAAAATACTGAGTTCTGAAGGGAGAAATTATAAATGAAAAGGAGAACGGAAAGAATTTCAGGGAGGCATAATTTGATTAATTTGGCAGGAATACCATCTGGGCCAATGAAATTAGAATGTGATTTCAACAGAGCGGATATGAGGTCTGTGGGCGAAATATCTGAAAAATAGAAGTCGTCTTCGTTAAACGATATTCCAGGGAGAAGAAAAGGAAGATGTTAGTGGTGGAATGGAAGAGGAGGCTGATATAAAATATGAATTTAAATCATCAGATGATACTGGAATGACTGCTGATGGAGGTTCACAGAGAGAGAGTTTACGAAGGAGTAGCCATTTTGATTTGGAATCAGGAGCTAATGAGAGGGCTCCGTCGAAATAAATGGATTGGGCTCGTCGGGTTCTGGTTTAAGTCAGGTTGCGGAGCACCCTAAACGCTCGATAGTCGTCAGCAAGCCTTGTACGTCTAAAGCGTCTACGAGCAGCGTCACGTTTCTTCTAAAGATCCTTAACTTGCTGACACATCCAGAGAGCGGGACGGCGAGGAAAGGTAAATGTTTTGAGCGGAGCATAGGCATCAAGGATATTAAGGAGGTTGGAGGTGAGGATGTCAACCATGGAGTCCATTGAGGAAAAGGAATATATTCTATTCCTTAATTTTAAGATTTTTTTCTTGATTAAGGCTATGAAGGTTACGGAAAGTTATAGTTCTAGGCAGGAGTTTGGATATTATATGATATTTGGATTAGGTCATGAGAGGATAAAAAGAAATTGGTAATTGGCAAGAGGAAAGGAGGTTCTAAGCGGGGTCGATAATATACATGTCGGACCTGCAGATGTAATGAGTGGGAGCATAATCAGCGATAAAAAGATAAAAGGAGAAGAAAAGGTTTTTGTAGGTATGATTTGTTGTTGGAGTCACAAAGGAAATTAGCGTTTAATTCACCGGAAATAATAATTTTGGAATAATAGAAACAAAGCTGAAGAGGGATGATTCGAAAGACAAATCATAGGAAACATGAGGAGGACGATATACTATGGTATATAGGATAGAAGAGGCATTACAGAAAATCTCTACGACGAGAAAGTCAATTTGTGGTTGATCGGATGGAGGAAAACAGTCGAGAATTCGAGTCTTAAGGCTTTCATGTACATACATGGCTACCCCGCCGCCAGTACGGCAGTCTCAGTCATGGCGGATTAAGGCGTATTTAGGTTGGGAGACAGCGGAGAAAGGGATGTAGGACTTGAGCCAGGTTTTCGAAATCGCTATAATGTGAAAAAAGTTTTGAATGAAATATTGTAGGAATTCATCGTAATAGGCTAGAAGGGATTGGGAGTTAACATGACAGGTAGTCACGTCACTAGACATGGACAGGATTAAACAAAGCACAATCGGTATTTGATAGGAAGATGCTGGAACAGAAATGATATGTTAAATAAAATTTAGTTTAAATTAAAGCAAAAGAAAAAAGAAGAAATCCCAAGTGAAGATAAATATATGCAAATTATTAAATAAAAAGAAGGATTCCAGATAGTATTTTTAGCGTATTGAATACATAATTTTCACCGAATGTCCGATAGGCATGCCAACTTTTCTGCTGAAGAGCAGACGAGACTCAACTAGTCAGGCAAAGACATCCAGGTTCTGGGGATGGTCGATAAAAACCGCCTGATAACCGTATTATTTTCGACACCGCAATCTGCCGGTAGCGAACCATAGGTATTTTATTTTTCCCGCGGCCTTTTTCTCTCGGGCAAAGCCAGTTGAAATGCCTGTTCGTAGATGTCATCCAGTCACAGAGATAAATTTGGTGACAATCATTTTCCTTCCACCCGATATTCCGCGTCGAGAAACCCCTCTTCACCTTTTTTCGCTGTACCAGGTCGTTCCTAACTGATTGTCTGACAAAGCGCGAGATGACAGGCGGCAGCCGCGGGTCATCTTTTCTGGTCCATTGTACGGTGTTCAGATCCGCAACATTCAGCTTGCATATATAAGTATGTGTGTTTTTTTTTTAATTTCTTTATTTTAAGTTATTCTATTTTATTTATTATACATACTTTTTTCTTATTATTTAGTTGTTATTTTGCTTCTGTTTATTTTATATTTTTTGTACATATAGTGTGAATGTGATCTTACATCACTATATCCAATGTCCAAGTGACAGAATGTTGTAATATTCAATAAATAAATAAATTTTTAAAAAATATTTGTCTCAATACTCTCAAAAATATTTAATATTCAATTTGAATTGAGACTACATAATGGGTTTAGAAATAAAATAATGTTTTTGAATATATGTACATATTAGTTCGGAAAGAAAGATTTTCTACAAATATCATTATGAATGAACATTATGAATTAAAAGTAAAAAGAAGTATAAAAAAACTATGCTAAAATAGTAGATGTGAAAATTTATTCAATCGATTGAGGTATTATTATAAAATAGTAATTGCAATTAATAAAAAAGTTTTATGTACAAATAAATCATAAAATATTAACTAAAACATGAATTGTCAAATTTAAAGAAAGTTTATACCAATAAACATTAATTATAAAAACTAAAAAGTGTGAATACATTTTTGTCTAAATAAATATTAAATGTCTACAAATAAACATTTAACTAAATTAAAATAAATGAATATAGAGTTTTAAAGAAATTGTGCACTACTAAAAATATAATAAAACAAATATAAAATAGTAAATAAGGTAAAATGCTTTCATATTAAAAATAACAAAATTATAATGGATAACAAAATAATAATAATTGATTAACATTCCTAGAAACATTTATTAGGATTTTTGTAAGATTATAGAAGGAAGTGGTCACACAGATATTCTATAAATACTGCATTAGACATAATGTTATCTAAAATCGGTCTTGGTCTTGCAAAGTGCCGCCAACACCGCCTATCTGTTGCAAGACCAAGACCAAGATTGGTAAAAAAAATCGATTTTTCGAATGAAAATTGAGGCATAATTGTTACTAATCCTTGACAATTTTAGTTACTATATGTAAAGAATTGGTGTAACCAATATACTCTTGCATTTAACTCTTATAATTTTTCATTCAGACTTAGTTAGGTTTCTCCTATCTAAAAAATTACAGTAATATCCCTCCAGTAATATTTTAATAGGTAAATGCAAAACTGTTACGAAAGTCTTGCGCAAGACCAAGAACTAGACCAAGAATCGTCTCGCATATGGCAACACTAATTAGACACAAAGTAATGGGAAGGTAATGAAAAACTACTGATCTATTCATATCAGATACAAAAAAGTAGCAGTATCAGTTGTATCTAGGTATAAACATTCTTGTATCAACCCATGGCTGACTGATAGCTTACGAAACTTAACCCCTTTCTTTCTGCATCTTTGCACTTGCGCCCACCCAAAATTGCATTTCCGTAAACTATCAGTTCTTGTTTCGACTTCCAGTACAGTTCGTGGATTTATAAATAAATGAGAACAGCAATACACAACTCATGATATTTATTATATACAAATAATGCATACACATTGGATAACAATACATGTTACACACACCTGAGGTAAAGAAAGACTTTCTAAGTAAAACACACTAGAACATCACCCAGTGTTGTCATTACAGTATATTCAAATATTCCAACACCCTTCATAAAAAATCCCTTATGACTTTTCGCCTCTGGATCAACTCATCCCTAAGCGACTGCGGGACGAACCTTACCACAAGCGGCCCGGGCGTATCGTTTTGCCTCGATCTCATCCGTTCTGCATAGTCTATGTCCTCCACCTTTAGACTAAGGCCCAGGCCCGCCCCCACGCTCATCACCAGGCCCATCGGGGTCTCTCCAAATCTCACTGGGACTCCTCTTATTTCTATTGACCTGGAATGGTGCAATTGCTCACTTTTATTGAGCCCGATTTCGAGCTCCGAGACCCGAGACTTGAGAGTAGTGTTTTCCAGGACCAGTCCCTCAATCTTGGAATTTTGAGCCTCAAGTAGTGACTCTATAGTGTCCAATTTCGCCGCATTCTCAAAAGTTATAGATGCTTGCTTTTCGAGAGATATTTTTAATTCTTTCACCTCGTTAGCATTGGTATCGAGGGAAAATTTTAATCCCTTGACCTTTTCTGTTAGATTTTTAATGGCAGCAATTAACAGTTGTGACGTGCCGTCGACAGTTTGTTGTTGTGGCGCCGATCTTGGGGGGCTAAGGCACTTATCTGTAGGTTGGATATTTTTCCGATTTCACATTTCGGACATACCCAATTTTTTCGTAATGCCCTCAGTGCTTCGAATTCACTATCGTCTGCGTTTAGACATTTTCCATGAAAAATGGCTTGACATGTTGTGATAGTGCATGCTATTGTTTTTTTTTCTTCTCTTGCTATGGTCTGTTTACAAATTGGGCATAGAACCATCTTGATAAGTGAGAAAAAAAATCACTTAAGTAACGTGGTAAAAAAATTGACGTTATACTAACCTCGTCACTGGAGACACTGAGATATCTAGTGGCTAGTCCTATCTATGCGCATGCGCACTTCTATTGTTATCTAAAATGTCTGCAATAGATACCTTAACCCGACTAAAACTGTGACTTTTTCTTTCTTCTTCTGACGTAAAACGCCGGTGTATTGAAGAATCTTTCCTGTATATGCATATAACACGATTAATAGTTGGTTCTAACCAAAAATTATGATAGAACACCTTCTAAAAACTGTGAAAATCACTGACTATAAACTTCTATCATACGCCCTGAACTGAGGTCTAGACCACACTGAGTGCTTCTATATTTCTACATTTTAGACATAGGCGGTACGTTTTTATGTAGAACTTTGTATTTCTAAATTCCAGTTCCTATTAGAAGAGGTCGTGATGGTTGAGCGTCTTGGAGCGTCGTATCGCGTTATAACATTCTCAAGTCTAGCGGCGGCGTTCGAATCCGACTGGGTGGGGTAAAATTTATTTCATGAAGCCAACAGAAAAATAAATAAATGAATGAATATATATATATATATATATATATATATATATATATATATATATATATATATATATATATAAACTATAGTTAGTGATTGAACCTTTTTTTAGTGTTCAATATTTAACCAATACTTAATTAATCTTATTACCTGAACACTAAATACATCTGATGCAATCCAGGCTCTTTCATGTATTATGTCTTTTATTGACACCCCTGTTTTATTTACTAGCTTACAGAGGTCTGCTATTCCACCTGGTCTATCACTTACTGTCACTGAAAATTTCACTAGACGTCCATCTACTGCTAAACCACGCTCTAAACATCTTCCCAGAATGGTTGTATCAATATTACCACCACATAAAGGAATAACAACTCTGAAAAACAAGATATGATTTCTACATAAGTTTTCGTTATTTCATATTATATGATTGTGTTTGTGTTAACTGTGTTGTTAGAATCTAATGAAATATTTCATTCCTACTATATTTTAATAAAAATAATGTTTTTGACTAACGTATGAATGCAAGAAATACATACTCATGCATGTATATCTTTGTGTTTATACATATATTTCAAGAAAAAAGTATCTTTTATTTGCTCACGGAGTCAGACAGGACTTTGTAGCTCACTTTTATTAAAATAATTTTAATAGAATTAAATTTCAGTCTTTATGAATCCCGCTTATTCAATTACTTTCTATCCATCCAATTCCCAAACAATTTTAAATAGCTTCATCTGTTAATACGTATATAATTTATTAATGCATTATTGTTAGAAGTATTACTTATATATTTTTAAAATTTCTATTTATTTTTATAAAACTCTGAGGCTCTAAAGTCCACAATCGCATTATTCTTTATTATACTAAAGGGACTTGTCCCAGAATAAATAAAGCATGTTATCATCATTATTATAACTGATGTTTGAATTAATTGAGTATTGAAATACTCATCCTCCAACTAATCAAAATGAATTCGATTTTAGAGTAAAATAATTTTGACTCGGATGTTTATAGACTACATTTAATCAAAGAGTTCAGTCGAGTGTTTGAGGCAAACTGAAAATCTAGTCATTTTTGTTTGCTAGTTACTAATTTTATAGATAATAATTGAATTGAAAAATTGAATAAATTATTAAACTATAATGGCAAAGGATCATTATTACAGGACTAAAGACAATTAAGAAACATTTAAAAGGGAATGGGTAATTCTTGATTATTTTTATAAAGAAAATAAAAATTATTGGCTTCAACATACATTTTTGATCATTATAAAGAAACCTGAGTATTTCAATTAATATAAAAATTATTATAGAAATACATTTTTAGATAATCTGATCTTGAATTTTCCAATGAAAATTTTTATTTTTTAATACTGAAAGTATTATTTTTAAAAACTTATTAACGTGTACTTTGCAGCTTTCATTATTAAGTAATGAACAATATTATAACAATTGGTGACTAGTTTATTATAATTTATAACAAATTAAGATAATATTTTTATTTTTACTTTTTTCCTTTTAATTCATTTAATTGACCTGCCAGAATAGCTGCTAAACCTGCAGCACCTGCTCCTTCAACAACACACTTTTCCAGCTCTACCAAACGAAGGATTGCAATTGCTAACCATTCTTCTTTCACCAGAACCTGAGAAATTAATTTTGATCATTTGTTTTTTGTATCTACTATTAATTTCATCATAAATATATATTTAAAGTTAAATAGTTATAATTAATGATTTCTTCACTACTGTACATGATTTTAAATACATTTAGTCAGATCAAGAACCTTTTTAATTTGAATTTTATGAGTAATAATTAAATGCATTTTTTAATAGTATTTATTTATTTATTAAATTATAATACAATAATCTACACCTAATGAAAATACATATTAGATCTAAAGGTATTCATTTATACAATATATACATAGAAAAAGAAATATAAATAATTAAGATCAAAGTAAAATAAAATAGAGAGATAAAATAAAGTAAAAAAGAATTATCAACTATATAAAATCATAATAAATATAATTATTATTTCACTACAAAAATAACAACAAATAAAACGGAGTATCATAGCAAGATTATTAGATACCGAAATGAGATATTTTCTCAGATTTCCGTAACCAGATAAAGACTGGTAGATTAGGTCAAGCGAATTGAAACTTTGAACAAAGTTTCTTTCGCATGCCAAATTTTCATTTATAAAGCAGGGAATGTGCTGTAATCTTGTGACTATTCAAGATGTAGTAACACACCATATAGAAATGAGTATTTTACTAATTTACAAGAAATAGTTAGTCCACTCACAGAAACCAAGATCTCTTGTTTCTGTTTATATCCCTTCCCATAGAACTAAAACCTTCAAAGTTCTTTCTTAGCCCTCTTCGTTGCCTTATGGAATTTCTTCCAATCCAACATCCATCACGCCTCTTCCCTGTCATTATTCAAACATCTACTTTTCCAATACCTTCTTACATCTCAAATAGACGATCTGCAATTGTAAAATTTCATTTCTTTAATCATGTTAAAAACTTGTTTAAAACAAACCGAAGGCTGTTTACTTAGTTTTTATCCAGGCTAAGGCTTCCTCTCCACTCTCTTCGCCGACAGCGAGTATAACAGCCTTACATTTAGTTGATGATTCAGTTCTAAGAGTCGTTACTATTAAAACGAGTAAAAGGCAATTTCGGCGTCCCTTGGTAAACTTGATTCCACTTCTTACAGCTGAAAATTATTACGAATTCTGAAATTTAAGTTCCTTAAAATTTTATAAACTTTTGGTAGGTAGAATGTTCGCGACCAAATACCATTGTAGATTAATAAGTAGTTTATACAATAATTAATTAAAATTAGGATATATTATGTATATATCATTATATATAAATGTTGTTATTATGCGAAATATTACGGAAAAGCTTAGCCCTTCCGAAGTCCAAGCTCCTAGAAAAAATACCGGCTTGATGAGCTTCGAGAATAACATTCTGCAGGTAGACAAGCTCCGAAAAACACATAAGAGACGAGCCCCAAACCGCCCATTGTATATATGCTCCTGTAGGATCTTCGCGTGACTGTTGCTCTCCATTAAGATTTCTTCCTTCATCGCAGGTCCTTATTTCGCACATACACTGCGTAGAACAAGGTGGGTACGAAAAATTTCAATTAGAAATCTAACTGAAGATTTAATTTAATTTATTTTACTTAACTATATTATGAGCTATTTTATTTTATTTCTTCTTTATTTTTTCTAGAAGAATAAACCAAATTTTATTTTATTTTCAAACTTATTATTTATTTTTTGTACAGACTACTTAAATTTTAGGTGTTTAAAATCCCAAATAATAAAAGGCAAAAAGATGACATTAGGCGAAGAAGATTTAAGGAATCCAAAAATCTTTTGCTAGAAGATAACCACAGGAACAATAAAAACAAAGCAGATTATGTGAAAAACTGGGATCGGAAAACGGACTAGAGGGGATTGAGGAGAGCTTTTTGCTCAATAAAGATTAGAAGCTGTGAATGCACTAGTTTTTCTAGTGGTTTTGAAATATTGGAGAGAATGGAGATGGGTCTGAAGTCGGAAACTTTGGAGGGAATCAGGAGTTTTGCTCAGCGGATAGACTATGACTTTTTCCTTAGATGTTCGGAAACTGGAATGTCGTAAGAGGAAAATATAAACATGAAAAAGGCCAGGAAAGGTGACAGTTTGACTAACTTCACTGGACTTTGATCTGAAACAGAGTCATTTGTTCTGGCGTTGAAGATGGAAGAAAGTAGGTCCTAGGATGGCAAAGGTATCAACTACAGGAATTTTATGATGAGGAATTATTTAATCCTTTACGATAGCCATAATTATGGTCTGTTCAATATATATTTAGGAAAGAGTTTGAAAAAAGTTGAGAGGCAAAGAGTGAAAGGGTGGGTGCATAGTAAACACATTGCAGGAAGGTGCATTTAATAATATCACACAAGAAATGAAAATGCCCATTAAGTTATCATGAAGAAAATCAGTATCTAAATATCCAAAGTACTAAACAGCATTATAGTATGTTGTAGCATCCAATAACCCGACCAAAATCTTTACTCTTGTCCAGAGGCGTCCCACATGGCTTTTCCTTATCTGCCACCCTTTTTTCTATCTACATCAATGACCTGCCATCCTCTATCCTACACTGTCATGTATACAGTTATGTAGTTATATGATCATGATGACAGTTATGAAGTTAGTCATCTGTATGCCGACGACCTCCAGATTTACCTCTCCTCCAGTCCGATCGATTCGTGCCATCCAAAAACTACAGGAAGATATATAAATCGAATATGTGCTTGGACAAACAACAATAGGATCATTCTAAACGCCAAGAATACGAAAGCGTCCTGATCGGATCTCCCTCACTCCTCAAATCCTTACCGATATGCACCCATCTTCTCCTGAACAACTTACCTATATCATTCCATACTTAAAAAACACTTGGTGTTACTTTTGATCAAACCCTCTCCTAGGAGCCACACATCTCCTAAATTTCTCATCGTACTGTCTACACCTTAAAACAGTTCAAACGGTGTACGGCATACTCTCCGGGGAATTCAAAGCCAAACTTAAAAAAGTGTATATACAGGGTATTTCAGAGTTAAGTGGCTGAACTGTAAAAAATGAACTAAGGACTTCAAAACAAAAAAAAAAAATCCTCCGAAGGTATGTCCGCAATCGCTTTGTTTAGGAGATATTCACACCTTAAGATTTTCGTTGTTATGAATTATTCACATAATATGAAATGAGTAAAACCTATTTATCTGTTCTAAATACTTTATTAATTAAATGTAAGCATTAAAATTCATTTTAAATGTTGTTCAAAATGATTTCCTTGAGCATTAAGACAGGCTCGGCATGTTTCTTTAACAGCAGCAGTGGCAGAATGGCACTGGATATGTGTTATTGTTTGCTAAACAAAGCGTTTGCAGATATACATTCAAAGGAAATTTTTTTCTTGTTTTGAGGTCCTTAGTTAATGTTTGCAGTTTGGCTACTTAACCCTGAAACACCCTGTATTTATACATTGATAACTAACTTTTGTAATTTGAAACACAAAATTTATGTAAGAAAAGATGCATCTCCTAATATATTTAATTCCCTAATATAGAGGTTCCTACAAAAGATAATTTTTAAAAAGTTATGTGAAATATAAATTACTTTATAAGAATCAGTTACATACATTAAGGAATGAAATATCATTAAAAATCAAATTCAATAATAATATTTTAAACTGTTTAAAATATGCTAACTTATTTGAAACCAGAAAATATCTAATACAAATATAATATATACTATTTCAAAGCCTAATGAATTGCTCCATACGTTTTGTTTTCAGAATCACGAGAGATACGCGTATTATCCAGTATTACAACTACACAACTATTATTTGAAACTGAGCTTAAAATCACATATCATATATTAAAAAGTCAGAATTATAAGGACATGCTTATAAAATCTGTTTTAAAAACTTGGAATAATTTAAATACATAGATTAATAAATAATTCACAACACTTTATTTATAATATTTTATTAGATTTTTTAAAAGTTAATATCTTTTCATTTAAGTATGAATTATTCATTTGCATAATTTAAATGTTAAAATATACTTACCATCTTGTCTATCAGGGGTGCAGCTGTTACAAATGCATTATATCCAACCATTGGAACTGCCAGACCATCTGCTAATGTAGACTGTATGGTAATGGGTACTGGCTTCCCAGCTTCCAATGCCTGACTAAAACTGCTACATCTTTCAGATTCTACACCCTTCACAAAAAAATTCAATATTAGTTTGAACAAATAGTATTCTTAATCCTTAATCCTTAATTTAACCGGTAAAGGTTTGGAAGGAAAATATAAAAAGTATTTTTATGATCACGTTTATATTGACTATTTTCATAAGTATGGTTACTGTTACTGTTACTACCAATAACTTACAATGACTTTAATGTTTGGATGAAGTGATTTTACAGCCAAAGCAACTCCAGCTATTAACCCTCCACCTCCCACTGGAACAACGACTGCATCAATATCTTCCACCTGTTCTACAATTTCAAGACCTAATGTTCCTTGCCCTGAAATGATGTGGGGATGGTCATAACTGAAACAAAGTTATATTATGAACATTATGAATAAGTGAAGTATATCAATAAAATTATGGATAATTTAATATTAAAGAACTTGTTGATGAGTATTTATAATTGGAAATTCCTGGTTTAGTGTATTGTTCTTATTCTAATTGTACTTATTCAGGTGTATTGCTATATTTAGGGATGTTTCATTAGAAAAATAACAAATAGTCCCTGATTTAATTGTTATATGCCATTATTCGTTAGTAACAAAGTATATATTATCTAACTATAATATAAATCAATCCTTCACTGTTCCCATCACCTCTATGCCGATGATTCCCAAATTTATTTTCCTTCCCTCCCTCAGAGTTGCATGATGCGTTTACCAATATTCAAGAAGACCTAAATTGGATCACTGCCGGGGCAAACTTAAATGGATTAAGATTAACGTTGCCAAAACTCAATTCATTGCCATTGGTTCCAAACCACTTCTCAGAACCAATACCAACATTCCTATCCTATACCTAAATGACCATCCCATCACCTTCAGCTCCTTGGTAAAAACCTAGACATTTTCATAGACCAAACCCTCTCCTGGAATCACCATATTTCTCACATCTCCTGACGGTCAATTGGTACCTTGAAACTATTCCATCGCTTCCGCCATCTCCTACCAATACCGACACGTAGACTCCTAGTATCTTCCCTCACTTTGATTACGCCTGCGTGGTGTACGGTGTCCTCTCGGCGGAACTTCGGGACAGACTGAAAAGAATTAAGAATGCCTTCTTAAGTTTTGTTACTGGGTACCCGAGACGTTCCCGTGTATCTCACCACTCTGCTGAGTGTTTCTTCACCACTTCCCCTCCTTCCGAAGGCACATTCCTGTACCAAATAATCAACAATCATTGTCCGTCCTACGCATACAATCTCCTAAAGTTCAAGTCATCAATTCACACCCTCCCCACAAAATCATATCCTTCTGACCTTTACACCCCTTTCCACAGATCTGCCTGATTTAAAAATTCTTTTGTTATCCGTTCCACTGCATTCTGGAGTTCCATCAAACGAAAAACCCGCCATGCGCCATCCTTATCTACGTTTAAAACCCTCTTATTCCAATTCCTCTTCACAATTTAATCAGATGTGGCTAAGTATTTATAAGCGTAATAAGGTTTTAATTGTCTTTGTTCTTCTGTTTTAAGTATGAAGCAGAATTTCCATCACCTTTCACAAAGCATTGTGAGTAGATATTTTTTTTTCTTAACTTCTACTTTTTCTATTCTTCAGATTGTAATTCTTTGAAATATATTTTATACTTATCTTCTACACACTCCTCTCTATGTGTCACCGGTGGATCTACGGGGGAGGAGGCTTTCGGTCTGAAGTCCCCCCCCCCCAAAATGGTAAATTATAGCCATGTTTAAAGAAAAAATTATCTCTAAAAGTATTATTGTTCTTCTAATTATATTTAATAGGACTTAAAGAATCATTTAAACACCTTTTCATACCGGTAGTTAGTTAGTTAGTTTCTTTCTTTCTTCCGAAGTAATTATCCTAATATATACATACAAAAAAAAAAAAAATCTTTCGGGCTGAAGTCCTCCCCCCCAAATTAAATCCTATATATATATATATATATATATATATATATATATATATATTCTCCTCGTAATCTATCGCTTCATAGGTAGATCACAACTCTTTTTTTTTTTTTTAATATATTTTATCACTAAAATGGTTTGCCTATAAAACTTATTTAGCGCTTCTTTCTAATTTCATTTAGTTATTTGTATGTTTTTGTTTTTTGCACCATATTGTAATATCGTAATCCTAGAACCCATATGCTTTCGTTAATATATTCTCAAAGCTATGTATACACTTATTTTATTACTTAGATTTTAGGTATTCTTTATTGTAATAGGTGATCTGGCCAGATTTATTGTTAATGGGTATCAACAATATTGTTATTCTTAAGGGACCTAGTCCCAGAATAAAGATGATTTTCTATCTATCTATCTATCCATATTATCATTCTCAAGTTTTATCGTCAAAATCAGCCCTAGGCGCCGGATCTTAAAAAATATTGGGGGGGGGGAGAGAAGGAAGAGACAAGATTAGTCATCATCATCATATGTGGCACGACATCCCGTTACCGAGACTGGGCCTCCTCCAAGAGCCTCCCCAAGAGACAAGATTAGTACTACATGATAATAATGTTGAATTCGTGGGAGGGGGAAGGAATGAGATGAAACGTCATACATAAAAGAATATGTGGGCGGGGTGGCCGAATGGGCTAACGAGTGTGCACTGCACCGCCGTTGCCCGACAACCTGACATATAAGACAATGATGAAAAATAGTTCCGAGTTCGCATCCCGTTGCCGGGGGAGACTTTTAAATTCCCGCCCACACTCTCTGGCCCGTGAGAGCCCCCGTATAGCCTTAAAGGCGAGGACCCAATAAAAAAAAGGAGTTTGAGTAAGCAGTTCAAATTCAGCAGGGGGGAGGGGTTAAAATTGGTCGCGAACGAAGTTAATGGGTACAATTTCAATATCGTGGCACTACAAGAGATTTACTAGCCAGTGGAGTGCTTGATAAGTGAAGAGAAGTAAATTTGTCACGGAAGAAGTGAAAATCAGTTTAAATAAGTTTAATTATCGGGTTTCTAATTAGGAATAGACAGCTAAGGGAAGAAAAGTTCACTATTTGGCAGGGACGAAGCGGAAATCTAATTAAGAATAGATTGCTATTCGCTTTAAGGGACGTAATTCTTTAGTGACAGAATGTCGGTAGCCACATTTCAGGGACTTTGGTTTGAGAACGGCTTAATAAACATACATTGTCCGATCGAAGACAGTGATGATAATGTCAAATGCGAATTTTATGATAAAATCGAATTGTTTTATGATAAACTACCACAAAACTCCATAATAATAGTTGTTGGTGACGCGAACGCTAAGGTAGGAAGGGAAGAAATTTATTTTTCGACGCTTAGTAAAGAAATTTTTGACGAATATAGTAATGATAATAGGATCAGTCTGATAAACTTTGCCATCTCGAAAAACCTGATCATTAAAGGTACTACGTTTAAAAATAAAGATATTTATAAATATACTTGGACATCAGTGGATTTGCAAACACGAAATCAAATCGATCATGTCTCTTGATACAACATAGCTGGAAAATCAGTATTAATGTACGATTTTATCAGGAGACAGAATGTTGGTCAGATCATGAATTAGTGTCATGAAATGATGATCAGATCATGAAATGAAGATAATCGCAAAAATTCGAAAAAAATTTAATATAATTTTTTTTTATTTTTATTTTTATTGCGTATCAATGAAGTTTGCCACACTGAATGGCATTGGTACTAGGGCTATAGTAAGAAAAAATATATATAAAAAGATAAAGTAATATACAAGATAAGTAAAATAACAGATTAAAGCCGAATGATAACAAACTAAATAAAACACATTCACACCTATGTACAATATTTACACTGGCCCAGGGGACTCTGAATCAAGCTTTGTTCTCCAAATGTGGAAGCCAAAGCAGGACTCCAGGAGATCCCAGTGCTTTTCTCGCAGCATCGTCACTGGTGTTGTAAGCCTTTGGAGACTGATGGAGGGCATTAGATCAACAGACGCTCAGGACTTGAGTGAAGAATCTGGCCAGTACTCCAATATATACATCTTTACAAAAGGCCAATGCCGTTTTAACATCCGAGGAGGATTGTAGGGATGGCTGGAGCTAGATAGAGACTGTGCTAAAGGATTAGGATGATGAGTGAGATTCTGATGAAATTAGGTAAATTTGTCAGGGATTAGGTCAAGTAAAAATGGGATATTAAGGTCAGTATGTAGGGTTTTATTGGTTACATAAAAGGGAGCATCGACTATTGTTCGAAGAACTTTAGACTGGAGGGATTGAATACGTTTGATGTTATATAGTTTTGCTGTCCCCCACAGTTCAAGTTCGTAGGTCCAGATAGCTTTCAGGATTGTCTTGTAGATTAATAGTTTGTTCTCAATTGAAAGTTGAGATTTTCCATCGAGTAGTCTATATAGTTGGGCATATCGTCGGTTAAGCTGTTGTCTTTTAAGTCTGGAATGTGGGTTCCATGTTAGTCTTTTGTCTAAAAGGAAGCCAAGATACCGAACTGTGTCAGAGAGGGGAAGTGGCATGGAGTTGAAATAAACCGGTGAATAGGATTGCGCCGAATGGTGAAGGTGATATGTTTGGATTTGGATTCATTTACTTGGATGCGCCAGTTATTAAACCAGTGTTAAATAAGAGAGAGGTGACTTTGTAGGTTAAAGGGTGCTGTTTCGGGATCTGAATTGGAAAATTGGATGGCTGTGTCATCAGCGAATTTTGCTAGGACGGTTTCGGGATGAGTAGGAATATCAGCGGTAAAGAGAATATAAACGATAGGACCCAAGCCGCTCCCTTGAATAACTCCCGCCTTAATGGAACAACAGTTGGAAAATTCAGTACCACAGCGAACTTGAAAGGAGCGGTCAGAGAGGTAGGAACGGAGTATTAGATATAACAATTATGGTAGATGGAATTTAAGCTTGAAGAGCAGTCCAGCGTGCCATACCCGGTCAATAGCCTGTGCTATGTCCAGAAATGCACCCGAACAGTATTGCTTCTTTTCTAGGGCTGAGGATATATGGTCGACAACTCGGAGTCCTTGTTGGACAGTGGAATGTTGGGAACGAAATCCGAATTGGTGGGTAGGAAGGTTTTGAAATTCTATTATGGGCAGCATCCGTTTCAGTAGAATCATTTCACATATTTTTTAAAGGATGGGAAGAAGGCTTATTGGTCTATAGGATGTTGTGTTATTAAAAGGTTTACCTGGTTTCAGAAAAAGGATGATGACAGAGTGTTTTCATAAGAGAGTAAGGGTAGTTCGTTGGATACAATTGTATATTCACTGACAAGCAAAACATTCCACTCATTTGATTTTACCATGTTTTCATATAAAAATATTTCTGTAAAGTTGTATTTGTAGATAATACTTTGTATTTATGGAATTTCATAATCTTTTTTACCTTTAATAATCAAAATGTGATTGGGTAAGAAAGATTAGAGAAAAAAAAATTGAAAAACGAACCATCATTATTCTAAAAGAAATTAATTACATCATCGTTTAGTAGCGCGTGTTTCCTCCTCTTGCCTTCACTACTTCTTGAAGACGCCTCGGCATACTTTCCACCAGTCAGGAAATGCCCCTTTGCTGGAGGATAGCCCATTCCTCCCGAAGAGCCCTTTCAAGGCCCTGCAGTGTATCAGGAAGTGTTACACGCGCTCTTATTCGTCTTCCGAGGTTATCCCATAAATGCTCAATGGGGTTCAAATCTGGAGAACGTGCTGGCCAGGCTAAACCTCAATATTGTTCTATTGAAGGAACATCTGCACTATGCGGGCGTGCATTATCGTGCATTAGAATAGAACGATCGCCGATTTCGTTGAGGATAGGCAACACATGAGGTTCCAAAATCTCATCTACATAGCGAATGGCCGCCAAAGACCCTCCACGAACAACAACCAATTCTGTGCGGCACTCCATTGAAATCCCAGCCCACACCATTAAGGAAACACATTGAAAAGGTTGACTCTGGGAAAAATTACAGGCTGCATATCTTTCGTTTCTTCTTCTCCACTCCCTTTCACGCCCGTCTGGAGATCGAAGAGCGAATCTCGACTCATCTGTAGAAAGTACAGCACTCCATTCGTCCATAGTCCAATGGCTGTGTTCTCGAACAAAAGCCAGCCGTGTTACTCTGTGAGTTCTGGTCCTCTTACTGGACGAAAAGCCATTAATCCATACTCATTTAATCTTCTCCGTGCTTATTAATCTTCTCCGAAATTTGCACACCTCGAACTTCTTCGAGCTGATGAATCGCTTGAAGAACGGTAAGGTGCCGGTTTCATAAAATTCTCAAAGTCAAAAACCGGTCATCCCGTGGTTCTGTTACCCTAGGCCGTCCAGAACCGGGCCTTCTATTGTAAGAACCAGTTTCCCGAAAACGCCTGACGGAACTATATGGACCTCCGATGGCATTGGCTGCATTGAATGTCTAATGGAACGTCCATCATCAATAAGTGCCACACCACGCGCAACATCCTCAGCACTAAGAGGCATTTTTAAACTTAATTTTGAAAAGATTAAACGCCGGAGACTAAAGAAATGTGCTGCAAGAAACGGCACTGAACTAATGATACTGAATAAACTGATACTGAATTAAGGGTTAAGGGTTATTGTCCTCTATATTAACATTCCTAATTGAAAACAAACAAAAAGATTACCTATTTATTCATTAAAAACAACAGACCAATCCAAAGCAGAAATATTTTGAGATGAAAACATGAAAAAATCAAGTTGGTGGAAGTTTTTGCCTGTCAGTGTATAAGTGAGCAATGTGATTGCTTTGGATGGAAGTTGCCGAAGGATCTGCGGGATTAGAAGGTCGTATCCAGGAGATTTACGGGGTGGTAGTTTTTGTAAATGATGTTTGACCTCAGAAGGATTAACTGCTTTTGGTGGTAAGGAGAGTGGGATGGGTGAAGAGAGGAATTCTTCTACTTTTGCAGTATGCGTAGGATTTGATTCAGGATCAGGAGTGAATGCACAGAAGAGGAGTTTGGCGAATTCCTCAGCTTTGTGTTCGTCAGACGCCGCCTAGGAGCTATGCACCTCGACGGAGGGGAGGGAAAACACGGTGGGATTTTAAAAATTTTTTGGTGATATTCCTAAGGGAATTGTCATGAGCGGAGAGAGAGTTAAGGTAGGAGTTAAAGGATTGGGATCTGAAATAGGATAATTCTGCTTCAGTTGTTTACAGTTATAATTAATTATAAGAACGGCGATAGATTGGAATTATAGTGGGTTGCCATAATGATCTGGCACGGCGTTTGATATGGATTAGGTCGAGGATGTGTTGAGGTAAATTATTTTTAATATAAAAAAAAAATTGAAAAGATAACCGTTTTAATATCGAGAATTTTAATTTGGAAAAATAAAATATATATATTCAATAAAGTTGAAGCTATATAAAATCAACTGATAAAAAAATAAAATCAGTATATTCGGGTACGGCTTTCATTACTCATGTTTTGCATGAAGACATGATTCTCCCAGCTCAACAGGCTGGATGCCAAGACCTTTCCAGCAGTAACAGGTCGACCACCTATCTTAGCCTCTTCCTCCGCGAACTAAGTAATTTTTCACAGAGAAATAACAAGTATTTCTCGCCTTCAATCAAACCTTAATCTCCTCTTCAATTTATTTTTTTATAATTGTCGTAGACCCTATATACCTAAACTTTTTAATGGTTTCAAACATATTCCCTTCTAAATCGATATCACCGAAATCGTCACTATTTTTGCGATTAACTTTATATATGGTCTTATCCGTATGTAGCGGCTCGCTACGAGACTGATCTTCCACCTTAAGAAGATGAATTATATTTTTTATTTTTGTATTTATATTATTTTTTTAAATATATTTTTTATTTTTATATTTGTACTTTCAAAAGCTGTTATTTTATTCAATAAAGTTGAAGCTATATAAAATAAACTGAATAAAAAAAATACAATCAGTATATTCGATTACGACTCTCGTTACTCATATTTTGCATGATTCTCCTAGCCCAACAGGCTTTATGCTAAGACCTTCCCAGCAGTTTGATCAGTTTCAAAGGGGTTCTGCAGTTCCATAGCTGCATTAGGATTGAGCGCGGTGCACCCAAAATTAAACGCAGTGCTTTGTTCTGCCGGCTGCCCAGTCTTTTCTGGGTTGCATCAATTGATGACCTCAGAACCGTATTCCAGTACTGGGCGTACATAGGTTTTATATGCAAGACCCATCACATCCTGGGTGGCTCCCCATGTCTTTCCCCCAAGGCGTTTTAGAAGCTTAAGCCAGTTTTCACCCTTTTCCACCATATCTTCAATTTGCCTGTTCCAATTCATTTTGGTGTCTAACCTAAATCCCAGGTATTTGCCTGCACAGGTTCTTGTCAAGGGAACATTATTATAAATGATTTCCAGCTCATGCACTTTGGTTGATAACGTAATCAGTTGAAGCCAGTTTTCTGTGGGTTCACTTCCATTTCATTTGACATGGTCCAGGTAAAAAATCTTGACATTGCCAGATCAATGATTGACTAAGTTTATTATAAAACATGTATTTGCCTTCATCATCACTCTGTTCGGGACGACAATGCGTGTTTATTAATATAATTTTCAACCAACGTCCCTTATATATGGCTGCTGATATTCTATCTCTTAAGAATTGTATGTCTCTCAAAGCGGATAGCTGTCTATTCCTAATTAGAAACCCGATAATTAAACTTATGTAAATTGATTTTCACTTCTTCCGTAACAAATTTACTTCTCTTCCCTTATCAAGCACTTCACTGGCTAGTAAATCTCTTGGAGGGCCACGATATCGAAATTGAATCCGAACTGCTTATTCAAACTCCTAACGCGCTATGAATCCCCTTAATCAGTCCTCACCCAGACACGAACGGGAGCCTGGTTTACCTCCAGATAATGAGCATTTTACCTTAGGAAGGCTATTTGTGGTGTATGGTGAACTAAATATACGTGAATAGGGTATTCAATCCTACGTCACACCCTCCAGCAAGCCTCTCCAGGGGGACTCCCATTGTTGGTCAACGAGTCCATCGGACTTAGCCGGGAGGAACATCCAAGGAATTTCTACCGACCGTCGCCTTACCCGCCACCCGTGGTGGCTCGTCCTCTACGCGTTAATGAGATCCGCGTGAGGGACACCATTGTGAAATAAATATAATTGACCTAGCGTTTTATACGAGTTTTACTGTTAGTAATATTTATATTAAATCTATTAAAAATTAATCATTATAAGGGATAGTCGAAATTGGAAATGGGGATATTAAAAGTATCGAAGGGCATGTTAGTTTCCAAAATGACGTACTATATATATTTAAAATAAGTAGATATTAATAAATTAAATTTCTACAATTATTTGGTCTTTCATTTATACAAAAACATACCCATTGATGTAAGTAAAGCCTTTTTTTTGTGCAAGATTCATAGCATGAGCCTTTGCTTCTTTCATATCGTTACCTTTGACAATCACTTCTGCGCCATGTTGTTTGCAGCATTGAATCTGAAATAAGTAGTGTCCAGAGTTATTTTCGTTTCAAAACTACAGAATACTATTTAAAATGTGTCATGTATCATTCTTCCAATCCACTTTCTGTTTTTGTTATACACTTTTAGTTGACGGAGTATCATTAATAATTAAATCGGAAACAAGATGACAAAGTTAAATACTTTCATATATTTTAATATATCATATTGATTATATTGAAATTATTTAATGTCAATAAGACATTCATTTTGATCCATAAAACTATTAAATGAAGAAATAAATTCCCACCAATGTTCTATGTACCACGAAAAGAAAGAATGTGCAATGGGTGGTAGTTTGATCATTTGAAAATTTTAGTTAGCTTGGCTCGTCCCACCTTCATCCTTAATAGGTAGGAACGACGCTAGCTAATGATAGCAATAATTAAAATCTGCACCAACTTATCCTGTTTCTTAACGCAATGGTTCATAGGATACCAAAAAGTTTTTTTTTCTGGGATTTTGAATTGCGGCAAACTCTAATGATGTTAATCAATCAACGCCCGGTCAAAAACTTACTATTTTTTTAAAATATAGGTTTTAGACTTATAAGTCTTCTGGTTTACGTTGTAATAATTAATCATTACTTTTTAATAATTCAAAAATTATTAGACAGATATCAAAAAAATGATTAGTCAGAAACAACAAAATATTATGCTTTATATAACTTGTTACTTTTAAAATACATGAATTAATATTAGGTTTTAAATTAGTATTATAACTTAATCACCTTTATTTTTTTATTCAGCATATTTACAACTGTATTAAAATAAAAATACATTTAGTAAATGTGAACATATGAATATGATGACATGAAATGACTTGTTGAGAAACTATTCACTGAATGAATGAAAATGTGTTTATTGTACTTTTACAAAAATTATACATTAAAATATATATCTATACATATACTAGTAACAACACATGGACAATGGAAAATTCCGTCTGTCGAGGTCTGTGTGGAATTAATAATAAATATTCATTACATATAACTAAAATAAGTGAGTAATAATATATCCACAGTATTATTATATATTTATACACCCATTCTAGGAATTTCTTCCTTTACTATTTCACTTGTTTAAATAGAGTTTGCAAAAAAACAAACATAAATACATCATAAATCCAATAAATAAGAAATTTAATTTCAACAACAAATATTAATAACCAGTTTTTATTAATAGAGTTTAATTAATAGAGTAATAGAGTTTTTACCAATTTTATAGCGGAATCTCTCTGATTATTCACGTGATACAGTTAAAGTGTATATCAGAGCAGTTGATATTTACTGTTGGCATCTTTTTTTTTTTGTTATTTTAAGAAAAAAAAAAAAAAAAAAAAAATTTTTTTTTTTTCTTTTTTTTATTTATTTATTTATTTTTCTCTTATGATATGCGGTATGATCAGCAAGTGATGGCCAGTAAGGTGCCCAAGAGGTCTCGGTCAGACGGAGTTAGCTCACCAGCCAAACAAAGGACTCGTCGCTGCCTACGAGAAATACCTCCAGTGACCAAAATGAACACTTCAGAACCAGAACCTCAGCCCCAACCAGGTACGTCTGCACAAGAAACGATTGAAGAATCACCTTTCTTTACTCCAAACCCCTACCAAGTGCTTCAAAATGACAAAGAAGTAATGGAGTCTGCAGCAATACCCAGAGAACCAAAGCCTCCTCCGATATTTGTGAAAAATATAAAAAATTTCCAGATGTTCTGCACCCAACTAAATAAAATCTGCTCTGGCAGTTATTCATGCCTTAACAGGACCAATGACACCAAGATAACACCTGATTCTGCAGAAGCCTACCGAAAAATAGTGAAGTACTTATCAGAAACAAATGCGAATTTTCACACTTACCAGCTGAGGCAGGAAAGAGCTTTACGAGTGGTGATAAGAAATTTACATTCCTCAACCCCCACTGAAGTTATTAAAGAAGAACTAACGACGCTTGGTTTCAATGTACGCCAGGTAACAAACGTTTTGAAGGAGGACAGGGAGCAGCCAGGATTACGAAATAGGATCCCACTACCATTGTTTTTCGTGGACTTGGAGCCATCACCAGGTATCGAAAAAATATATGATATCACAAGAATATACTATACAATGGTGAAAGTTGAGAAGCCATATCCCAAGAGAGACATCGTGCAGTGCCATAATTGTCAGACCTATGGCCACACGAAGACATATTGCCACCATCTGCCGCGTTGCGTGAAGTGCGGTGAACAGCACAAATCTGTAGAGTGCACCAAACCTATACAAGATCCAGCAGTATGTGCCCTATGCTTGGAGGGACACCCGGCCAACTACAAAGGCTGCCAAATTTACAAGAATCTCAAAACCAGACACCAGAAAAACCGGATTCAAGATGAAGCACTAAGAACAAGAAGAGAGAGAGAGCCTTCCAGAATTGTAAACAATGATGTATCATTCTCCCAACTACTTAGAGGTAAGACTTTAACCGATAAATGTCAAGCCCTGCCACAACAACAACCTCAAACCCAACCTCAAAATCCTCTTCATCCTAATATACCTAACCACCAACAACAAATTCCTCATATTCCTCCTCCTTCAAATGCAACAGATCTCACAAGTTTGTTAGCATCTTTCCTCACCGATTTCAAATCCCTTGTTACTCCACTCATATCACTCCTCACGAATCTCGTATCTCACCTCATCCCTCCTTTGAAAAATCCTTAAATGACTCACATCCCTAAACCCATATCCATTCTCCTTTGGAATGCGAATGGTGTTAGAAATCATACAGACGAACTATCTACTTTACTACTTGACAAGAACATTGATGTGGCACTAATTACTGAAACTCGACTAACCACTAAACAGCACTTCAATATACCACAATACCTGACATATCGTACTGACCACCCTGACGGAAAAGCACATGCCGGTACTGCTGTAATTGTACACCAATCCCTCTCCCATCACGTACTCCCATTACCAATACATGATTTCCTACAGTCCACCGCTATCGTGATAAAAACCTTCTCCTTTCCGGTCACTCTTGCATCAGCGTATTGCCCTCCTAACCGATCCATATCCAATGCCCAATTCAGTTCTCTCCTCGACTCCTTAGGACATCACTTCATCTTGGGTGCAGACCTAAATGCCAAGCACCAACAATGGGGTTCCAGAACCACGAATTCTCGTGGCCGAACCCTGCTGTCTGCACTCAATTCCCAACGTTTTCACCTCCTTTCCCCCAACTCTCCTACCTACTGGCCCACAGATCCCAACCGTAATCCTGATCTTCTTGATTTCTTTATCCACAGCGGCTTAAGTCCCCTCAATTGTTCCATTACACGTCTAAATGAACTTTCCTCTGACCATAGTCCTCTAATCCTTAATGTTTCACTTGAACCTGTTCCCAAACCTTCTCCACCGTCATTCATTAGGGGCCCAGTAAACTGGGACCTTTTCCGCCAAATAATCTCCGATAATATTGATCTCAACATATCCCTCAAAACTCCCGATGACCTTGATAGTGCCGTAAATTCCTTTACTACCACAATCCAACAAGCCGCCTGGACTGCCTCCTTTCCAAAAGACTCCTCCAGAATTCCTATAAAGACCATTCTACCCCAACACCTCCTTAACCTAATCCGCACCAAACGCCGTGCCAGATTATTATGGCAACGAACCCGACATCCTACCGACCGCTGCTCCTATAATTACTACTGCAAACAATTAAAACTGGAATTAGCCACCTTCAGATCACAATCCTTCAACTCCTACCTATCCTCCCTCTCTTCTCGCGACAATTCCCTTTGGAAAACCACAACAAAAATCCTAAATCCTCACCGCATTTCCCATCCTCTCCGACGAGGTGATGGCTCCTGGGCAGCATCTGACGAAGATAAAGCTGAGGAGTTCGCCATTCACCTATCCAATACATTTATTTCACATCCGGAATCCCATCCTGCCCACACCGTAACAGTAGAAGAACTCCTTACATCACCAATCCCACTTTCCTTGCCCCCAAAAGCTATTCATCCTTCCGAAGTAAAATTTCAATTAAAAAAACTAATCCTCCGTAAAGCTCCTGGACATGATCTCCTTACACCTCAAATCCTTCGACAACTTCCATCCAAAGCAGTCATATTCCTTACATATATCTACAATTGTATCCTACGCACCACCCACTTCCCTCTGTTATGGAAACACTCCACTATTATCCTTTTCCCAAAACCAGGAAAACCTCTCAATAGCTCAACATCCTATAGACCAATCAGCCTACTCCCAATCCTTTCAAAAATTTTTGAAAAGATCCTTTTGAAACGAATCCTACCCATTATAGAATCCCAAAATATCCCTTCCCATCAGTTTGGTTTTCGCTCTCAACATTCTACTGTTCAACAAGGACTCCGAGTTGTTGATCATATTTCCTCAGCCCTAGAAAACAAGGAATACTGTTCGGGTGCCTTTCTGGACATTGCACAGGCATTTGACCGGGTATGGCACTCCGGACTGCTCTCCAAGCTTAAAATCCATTTACCTCAGTCCTTGTACCTAGTCCTCCGATCCTACCTCTCTGACCGCTCCTTTCGAGTTCGCTGTGGAACAGAATTTTCCAATATCTACTCCGTTAAAGCCGGTGTTCCCCAAGGCAGCGTCTTGGGTCCCGTGCTTTACATCCTCTTTACTGCTGACATCCCTGTTCATCCCGATACTTTTCTTGCAACATTCGCTGACGACACCGCAATCTTATCATCCAACTCTGATCCCGAAATAGCATCCTTAAATCTCCAAAGTCATCTCACCTTGATTGAGCACTGGTGTAATAACTGGCGCATTAAAGTTAATGAATCTAAATGCCAACATATTACTTTTACACTCCGACGCAATTCCTGTCCACCAGTACTCTTTAATTCCATCCAGCTTCCTTATTCAGACACAGTCCGGTATCTTGGCTTTCATTTAGACCGAAGACTAACTTGGAACCCGCATACTAGACTCAAAAGA